AACAACAAAAAAAAATATTTCTTTTATATAAAAAAAAACAACAAAGGAAGATAGTATTTCGGTCTATTTTAATACCTGATGGTTAATTTAAGTAAGATTTACTGTAACCTTTGTGTACAAACAGACAGGGCATGTGTATTAATTATTGACAGATGTTTGGATGGAGGGGGAAATCAGACATGATGGAAATATTCCAGAAATTCACAATTTACAAGCATGTTTGAAAACATTTTTCTTACATTCTGAGTAGTGGTAAATTAACCCATAACAGGTGCAGTGTTGAACCTCTATAATCGACTTGTCCGATTGGTCCAGCTTCAATTTTTGGAACTGTCCTAGTTAAATTTTGAGAATATTTGAAGATAAAAAAATTAAAGTTAAAATTGATCAGACTGTAGGGATAAGCAGTTGTATATGTAATAGAAAGAGCACCGAAACACAAGGTTATCTGATTTGTACGAGTATTAATCAGATTACCGAGTGTTTTGGTGTTCTTTTTCATTTGTATCATAGTCAAACATAAACTATGATACAAAATACTAATCTGATACCATAAAGGCTGAAAAAGTTAAAATATTGTAAATCTTTCAGCTTTAATGGTATCTTAATTGTTACAAGTTTCCAATAGATGAACTTTCTTTGCTTCTTTTGCTCTGCTGACATAATGTGTCTTTTAATAATGTTATTTAAAGACACATTATTATCAGATATCCATGACTATTAAATTCAATTTAAGAATGTCAAACATGTGTTTATTAAGAGCATTGTTGAATAATTAACAGCTCAAGAAGAAAGTAGCGCTGAATGTGTAGTAATGTGTTGTAAAGGAAGCAAAGTAGTATTTTGACTTCCATGCAAAAATATTAATTCCCTATAATTATGTTTGTCAACAGAGCAAAAGAAGCAAAGATAGTTCATCTATATGGCAAATGAGTATTTTTTGGAAACTTGTATCAATTAAGATACCAAAAATAAAAAGAATTTGAGAAATAAAAATCGATGATATCATTTCCGAGGCATAATGGGCCTTTAAAATATTTTCTGGAAACAGTTTTTGCTTACCGGTAACTGGTGTGAAAAATAATAAAATGCAATTTCTGAATTGTTATAGATTTTCGAAAAAAAAAAAAAATGTGCATTATTGTTAACCATCTGCATAATGTTTTCAAGCACTTAAAACCGTTATAAACTCGAAACAGTAACTTCCATGTGCTGTTATAATATCATTTGCAAGTTTTCTCAAGTTGTAATATATTTTTCTATTTTTAGTTTCTCTTTTTTCTTTTTTTTTCTCAGTTTACTTTTAAATAAAAGGTTCACAGTTTACCTTTAGTGTTAAAAATGTATTATTTTTTTCACTTTAAATCTATTTATATACAATTGTATGTCAGTTATATTAGTAATTTAACATGTTGCCAAACAACTATAATAACTGCTACATTTTGTACACTATTCCACATATAGACTATAATGATATATTCTATTTATAAATAAATCTCAAAATTAATGGACTGAGGATAATGCAGTGCCCTTTATTTCTAATTTTTCGCTGATTAAAAACACCATTTAATTTATACTGTATACATGTACATAATTCATGCCTTTTAAAGCTGCATGCCTCCAGAGGAACCAAGATATTTCATAAAAATCAAACTTGAGAAAAATGTACAAAGCTTATTATTCAAGATTCATGTAAAAACTTACATGTTTAATACATGTGAATAATAACTGATTTTCAGTACTTAAAATTACCACATTAAAAACTGTGAGGGCTACTTCTGCACATCTTCACATCTTTTTGGTAATTTACATGGACTTGGATTGCCTTTTGCAATGTGTAATTTGTAAATTACTTTCTCAACTCATTTTGGAATATTTAACAATAAAATATATTTTCAAAATTTTCATGAAAATAAGCATGAATCTGGAGGCATGCTGCTTTAAGAATTAGTTTTATAATCTAAGAGGACCTTCTTCTCCTAACTATAGAGCAGTAACTTGCCTACATGCAGTACCCTAGCACTGGTGTACATGTACATTGTAATGTTCAATACATAAATACAAATAATTATTTTTAAAGGCACATTTAGCCTCAGAAATTAATTTTACATTCTGTTGAAAACACTAACATTTATATGTTGCTTGTATTAATGGATACATTTAGAACAGGTGAAATTTTATGATTTTCACCTTGATAAAGAGAACATTATATATAACTGCTGAATGTGGAGATAATTGTCAACAGAGCAAAAGAAGCAAAGATAGTTCATTTATATGGCAAATGAGTATTTTTTGGAAACTTGTATCAATTAAGATACCAAAAATAAAAAGAAATGTGAGAAATAAAAATCGATGATATCATTTCCGAGGCACCTTTTAAAGATTTTCTGGAAACAGTTTTTGCTTACCGGTAACTGCATGGTGTGAAAAATAATCAATGCATTTCTGAATTGTTACAGATTTTCAACAAATAAAAAAAATGTGCATTATTGTTAACCATCTGCATAATGTTTTCAAGCACTTAAAACTGTTATAAACTCTAAACAGTAACTTCCATGTGCTGTTATACATGTAGTATCATTTGCCAGTTTTCTCAAGTTGTAATATTTATTTTATTTTTAGTTTCTTTTCTTTCTTTTTTTTTTCTCAGTTTTCTTTTAACTAAAAGTTCACAGTTTACCTATAGTGTTAAAAATGTATTATTTTTTCACTTTAAATCTATTTATATACAATTGTATTTCAGTTATATTAGTAATTTATCATGTTGCCAAAACAAACGTAATACTAACTGTTACATTTTGTACATAGTTCCACATTCCAATATTCTCTTTAATGATATAATCTATTTATAATTAAATCTCTAAATAAATGATCTAAGGATATGACCATATATTAGTAACCTTTATTTCTAATTTTCGATGATAACATTACAATGTTCATAAAAGGATTTAATTTATACATATGCCAAAACCTATAACAAGATAATGATGACCTAGGTATGTGATCAATATGGAACATTTTGGAAAAGCGTTTTCAAGACTTAATGGGCCTTTAATGAATAACTAAAGACCCTACTCGTTGTCGACAGTTACTTATTTAATTTGTTTATTTTGTTTTCAAAAAAGTTTACAAAACATTGCCCAGCACTAAACCTACAAGTTTATCATTCTGAAGAAAAAAGCAACAAAAAAATCACAAGCAAAAATAACCCAAACATTTAGCCTTAAAGATTATTAACTTATCATTTAATCAACATATTACATGATTAGAGTACCTTGCTCTACTAAAGCTGTAGTAAATTTTGGTGTCAGAATGAACAGGGATTTGATCAAGTTCTTCTCTTCCCAGTGATAAAAATCATACAGAGGGATTGGATCAAGATGGTGATTACCCAGTGATAAAATATCTAAGCATCTGAATCAGCAATCTGAATGAAATCAGAGTTAGTCTCAGTCAGACACTTTGCCATGATGTAAAAAGATCTGCACTCAAGCTGTAATTGCAGACTATAAGACAAACAAGACAATGATTTTCCCTTTTTCAATATGTATGTTTTCATTTTTTGTAAGGACCCTCTAAAGTTGGTATGTATGTTAAATAGTGACAACTTTCAAGAAATTTCTTCTGTTTTGTAACAATAAAGTTGTTGTCATCATCATCATCCTCTTCATCAATCATCATTATACATGTATTGATAGACAATATCAAATAACAATTGAAGGTTTTACAATTAATCTTGTAAAATGTCAATAAAATAGCAACATTTAACTGGCTGTAATCAAATTATAAACTCAGTTGGTTTTGAACCTTAAGAATTTCTTTTCAAATAATGATTATTTCAGATACAAAAAATTAGAACATACAATCTGGCATTTTTAGAAATAATTTATAGCGAGTGGTCCAATTCAATTGATTCTTTTATAGAGAGTAGGAGTAAACGCTAAAACATAACATGTACTGATTAGATTAAACAGACTTTAATTTAGGTCCATTGTGTAGGAAGCTATTAGCAAACACACTCTCAAATCCGTTCCTGGAACCAACCAGTACTGAGCAATGAGTGCAAAGTTTCTTGAACAATAGGAAATTTGTACTAATTAACTGTTTATTCTGTTAAAATGTTAAATTCACATGTAACAGAATAAGTATGACACATGTTTAATCCACCATTTAGTTGTTACCAAGGCTAAAAAGCAGGGGCTTTGATTTTGATTTTTATCTTCCTGTTAAAGCATAAAGGCCCCATGTTTGCTTCAAATGCCCAAGCTTTGTGATTTGGACAGGTCCCAGACCAATCTGGTACATTGACATGGCAGTCCAGGGACAAGAGGTATAAGCTCTGCTCATTTGCCCTGCCCTTCACCAGAGAAAGGTGGCCAGGGTTACAATTGACTCGGGCATTTATTTGAACGACACCTTTAAGATGAAGACACAATTCATTAATTAAATCTGGCAAGACACATTTTATTCATTATTTATAATCAATTATTAAAATTCACTAGGCAATATAAAATGAATATGTGCCTATATGCATATTACGGTTACCGTATCAGTTTATTCTGGGACATATCATATCAGGACAAGCAACAACCTACTAACAAAATCAGTCTCGTATGTTGGCATCCATTTGACAGCAGATCGATGTTTAATTCATATATTTATGCCTTTGTGATGAATTTCCATAAATCATGTAAAGACTGTCTTAATACTAAAAGAAAGTTATTTTTCTTATATGCACAATTTCGGACAAAAAAGTACCCTTTTTTACAGGATAAACAAAACAAAATGTTATTATGATGGGGAGACTGTGCCTGATCGGACGAAGACATAACGTGAAGCTAATCATCAATTGCCTGTCCCATTATAAATATTATGTCCCATATTTATTTAATTGAACAAAGTAGCATATCTATTCATAAGATTTTGACACACTAAGCATTCATTAATCACACTGTTAATTCAATAATTCCCATCACTACAAAAATAGCATTCTGTCTTACCAATTGTCGATAAAATTTCATAATCTGAAAGTTTCTTTCCTTCTTCAGTATTTTCTGAACCCTTTTTACCCGTTGGGCTAGTCTGTTTTTTAACTTTGGCAACTTTCGCCGATGCCATGACTAATTTGACTCACAATTGCACACTGTCACACTCGCAGACAAAAATATATATTCCTGATAAAATCCAATATTCATCAAAAAATTGCAAATTCTTTCATAGCTTTGTTAATCCTAAGGTAGCATACTTAAAAACAGCGGTGTGAACGATTAATATGCCATTGATGCGTCGCCAACAAACTTTGGTACCACTTTGTCAGGTAGTACACAAACTTCTGTCAATTTACCTGCAGTATTAATCTGTAAGGGTAACCTCCCTTGGAAAATCAATTAAGTGAGGCCCTTATACAGGATTCCTTTGGTGTTCCTTTACAAGTGTTCCTTTTTTTCTACCAAACAATGCAAACTTCAGAACTGTATTTTTCTTTTGAAATTTGTATTTGATAGAATTTGCTTTTAATCTAATTTCCTCCATTTTCCCGCAAAAAATGAGAAAATAGTATTTACTAATTATGTATGTATCATTGATCAGAGACTTTTATTATGTAGAGCCCTGTGGTATAATATTTTGCGCGAAAGCTGTACAGTATGTATCTTTTTTTAGTGAAATAATGGAAAATAAATTAAAAGCATTTATCAAATATATAAACAAATTTCAGATGAAAATTACGGCAGTTTACATTGTTTGGGAGAGGTAGGAGGGTTGTAGAGTGGGTAAGAAGGGGTCCGAGGGAGGTTAGTGCAATCAAGGACCTTAATTGAGGTCTGCACGGTTCAATCAACGCACCCAACACCTGTGTTTTACAATAATATAGATTTATATTTAAGACACATTTAGTTGTATATTGAATGCACTTTTGCAGATAAAACAGAAATATAGAAAGCTAAAAAATCACAAAAAGGCAAAATTGCATAAAAATGTTGCAGACTCCATTTAATTGCACAATTTAAACCTGTTAATGAAAAGTAGATCTATAGACACTGTTGATTATTGCAACTATACCTTCTACACCCCAAGCACCGTCATTAAAATTTAAACTGAAAATAAATGATGAAATCTTGAATTTAGAAACATCCCAGATGTACCACTCTGATACATACCAGGCACCCAACAAGAAATAATATTGGAACAGAAGCACAAGCACAAAAATAATGCTTTGCTGAACGATCTTCAAAGTCAAGATATTTCTGTACAGGTACATGCATATATTAATTGTAATCATGGCTTTCATTAAATGGTAATAATTACGGTTGTGCTATCACCTGGCACATTACACTCTTAGTATTATCCACATATTGCATGCTGTGCATCCTTGCACGTGCATGTAGATTTCTAATGTTTGTCTGAAAATGTGTTATTTAATAATTATTTATCAACATACTTACTGTAAGTACACTTACATTATGTATATTTCTGGTTTCTTTTTTTTTGTTTAAATTTTCAAAAGTATTTCAGTATTATATTTGCTTATTTTATTGTTTGAATTTTCTACATACCATGAGGTAGGGCCTCAATATTGCTCATTGCAAAGGGACATAATCGTTCGCGGGAATGGCTAGGGTCAAAGGTTAAATAATATTGCCGAGACCGAGGAACGAAAATGGCCGGCGACCAGAAGCAGTTTGAAACCCTGCTTGAGGCTTTAATGAGCCCAGAAAATGATAAAAGAACAGAGACCGAGGTAAGAAATTGTTTATAAAGCTGTTCAAATCATATAGAATAACATTCCATCGGTGTATTATGATTGTCACTGTTTTTCTTCCAAAAGTATTGTTCGGAATTTTCGGATAATACCGTTGAATTTGACAGCTCCACGTGAAGGACAATGCATAATTTTGTGGGTGGGGAGTGGGCTTTATGTATGGAATTTTAGTTTAAAGAAACGTGTCTTTCATTCTATTCAACATATTTTGGATCAATATGTTTGAAACTATACACTGTTTGCTTTTATTTATCAGTTCATGAACATCACCAATAAGGGTATGAGTACAGAATTATCTTTATCCAGTATTATAATGAAGATTATTCAAATGTTCCTGTCTTTTTGACATTTTGAATTGAATTAGACTTTTTATGCACCAGTCATTTACATCCTAGCTCCAACTGCCAGGGAAAAGTGTTAACGTTAGCTTCTTGGTTTAAACACCAATATTAAGTTGAACAATTGAATTTCTGGAGCTGAATTTCTCTACAATGTCCCTAGCTTATGGTTTTTACCGTACCAGTTTTTATACTGTGACAGGACATCTACGTTGAAGACAACGCCATAGGAAAAGTCCACCAATAATCGTGCAAGGAATCTGGCACATTCGTATTCATTCATTTAGCATTCCATTGAGAAAAGTACTTCCCCAGGCACTTTAAGCACCACGCTCCTGCTGTGCCTTAATCTCCAATCAGTCTCACCGCCGACTCATAAATATCATTGCGGTGTTTGATTTTTCCAATCGCTATCGTTCAGTGGTTTACAATTTCGTATAGAGCTTGCAGAATTGGTCTTGGTGATTAATCAATAAACACAGCGGTCATCAATCAGCGCATGTGATAACGGATTAACAGGTTGTTTATAGGGTACAATAAATAATCTGTCCGAATGTCCGTTGGTCCTCACTGAATAAAAACCAAGTTTTCCAAGATATATCGTTAATATCAGTCCTCTTGTTCGAATGAAATTCAAGAAGCTAAAAATATCAATGACCTGTTTGATAAGAAGTTCCTGGTGATGCTAAGAAACAACATAACCACTTTCCGTGTAGGAACAGACAGAAATGGCTGTAGTACAAAATGACAAAGCAAATTTATATTTGGCACAAGTTTTAGGACAAAGGATATTTTAAAAGAGGAATATAATCATTTACAGGAATCATAATTTTATGATTTCAGAGCAACTCGTCCTGCTGTACAAGTCTTACTGTCTACCACCTGGATACAATTTTACACACCCTGCTACAATCTCTTTTTGTAAACACTAGAAAATATGTGGAATTTTCAGTACCTAACTAAATGTATAGTTTTAAACAGCACATTAAATTTTATCAGTTTTACTGCATAATACTGTATATGTTACTAAATTACTTATTTATTTTTCAGGAAGTGTATGACAAGATTGATATTTCACAGAAAGTTACATATCTAGTTACTGCTTTAAGAAGTGCTGACAATGCCATAGAGGTATGTTAAATCCAAGAATTAACTTACACTTTGCTTTTTAATACCAACTTCAATATGTTGGCATTATCTATATTGCTGAAATGTTTTTCTTCACACATTGACCTTTGATAAGATTAAGAATATTTTGGTGATATTGATAACAGACCCATCAAATTCGGTGAAAATTTTTCTCCCTATAATTTTTTGAACAGTAGTTTGAAACTTGTGTAATCTCGGTAGACTGATAGTATGTGGACTGTTTGACCATAATATATGGGATACTATTAAAAAATTGCAGAAGACCCATTACTTCCCTTTAATACTGAGTGGTCAATGACATAGGTACCTTTGTGGGGGATAGCAAGGTAATTCAGTGCAAATTGAATAAGACACAGTGCCAATAGTTCAACAGGTGTGTTGACTGTAGTAATTTTAGAATGCTATAACATTTTTAGTTTCACACATCTTCAAGGTAATGATTATGTTGTTTGTCAAATCTTCTGTGCAAGTCTCTGAAGCTAAACAGCTTTGTACTTGAGGATAATAATTTTTTTGTAAACTTGGATCAAACCGGTATTTCTTTTAACATTACAGGTTCGTACATTGGCTGCAGTTTTGTTGCGGCGATTATTTACCAATGACTTCAATGAGTGGTGGCCAAAGATTTCGCCTGAGCTCCAGGCAGGGGTCAAGATGGAACTCATGAAAGGAATACAAGAAGAGTTAACTCCCCCTGTCAAAAGGAAAGTCTGTGATGCAACAGCTGAATTAGCAAGAAACTTGATTGGTGCGTTTCGTTTTGCTTAGTTTGTTTTTATACGCCTGAAGTATCTTCGGGACTTATTATGGTTATCTGTCTTTGGTAATAATTTCTGAAAAAATTAGGCATTAAGAACAGATCTGATCCTTTTTCATGATTTTATATTATGTAAATAATCATTGTATGTTAGATATGTTTTTGTGCAAATGTTTGAAATAAAATATGTTTAAACTAAACTAACCTTACTATTTCTAGATGAAAGTAATAATCAAACATGGTCCGATTTCCTAAAGTTTATGTTTGAATGTGCAAGTGCTGAGGATGTTAGTTTGAAGGAAAGTGCTTTACATATATTCAGGTTGGTATAGTAACTAATACTATGTCAGTATGTGGTTGTCTTTTTATTCCACATGTATATAACAGTACTATATGACAATATATAGCTTTTGGATGTCATAAGAATTTAAAAAAAAAAAAAATGGGAGTCCAGTTGATGTTTGATGTAGTTTTTGCTTTTATCTCTCGCAAAAACATTTCAACGATGTATTTAACTTTAAAATGTATTTAAGATGAACTGAGAGCTGTTGATGACTAAATGTTTCTAGTTAGTTAAGGTAATTAGTTTGGTATGAATAACAAAAAATGACTAGCAGTATCCATTTCTATTTTTAGTCAAGTGCAAAGTAACGCATAATCTATGCAAATTATATTTTTAGTGTTGTCCCAGGAATCTTTGGTGATGAGCAAAGTCAGTATTTAGATGTAATTAAACAGATGTTAGCTCAGAGCATGGCTGTACCAGACGCCCCTACTGTATGGTTCGAGGCTGTCAAAGCTTTAACGGCTTTCCTCACTACTAACGAGGGTGAAGCCTCCATTGTTCACCACTTTCGTGATTTACTTCCCGGAGTTATACAGGTATGTATATTTTCATTGTCTGCTCTCCAATGGTTATATATCCTATGGCCATTTCAGGACTTGTACCCAATTAAATCATTTTTAACTTTGGGAGAGGGAATAAATTACTTCCAAGCCAGCCGGGGTCTTAATTTTTAACAGATTTGGCAATTCATATCATTGGTGAAAATGCTGTGAAAACCTTTGAACAGAAGAATCTGAACTGGGGGTACTGAATTTTGTATTACGGAGAAGCTATACAGCTTGCTTATGGAAGGTTGGACGTTTTACTGTGGTTTAACACCTATATGCTCATCTAGGTCACTTTAACAAAGTAAATATCCTGGCATCTTTACTGATAAATACAACTGTTAGGACTTTGTTTAAACCCTATTTTGCTAAATATATTTAAAAGACTTGTCGATCCTTCAATCTGGACAAGAATGTTCAACAAATTTAGGGAAAATTGAAAAAAAAAAAAGATGTACTGAACAGTGTTCAGGTGTGCTAGTTGGTCTTGGTCTTCCCTGTTTTCTTGATTATGTAGCCACAAACTGGCAATTGGTTGAATATCAGGCTTTGCATAATGTCAAACATGCTGTCCCTTTGGCAGTTTTTCCTCAAAGAAATTATTAAATTCTGTTGTATAAAGTGGATTTCTTTTGTTCCAGGCGGTTTCAGAAAGTGTAACACAACAAGATGATGATTCTGTACTGAAGTGTTTGATTGAACTTGCTGAAAATGTGCCAAAATTCCTCCGACCACAAGTAGAGAATGTTCTTACGTTTGAAATGAAGGTATGTTTGGTTTAACCACTGACCAACTTCTTTTATTAGCAAATAATAAGCAAATGGTACTTTTGTTGTACTGGAATATTTGGTTTTGTATTTATTTTCAGCTTTTCATCGAAGAAAAAGTCGAGCTATTATGATCGCTGCAGTGTTGCACAAAATCTTTAATGAAGCTTTATTATTCAAACATTTTAAAAGTTATCAACATGAAACTTGAAATAATTGCTAAGTAAGACAAGGGTCATAATTCTGAAAGCAATATTTTTTGAGTTATGATCCTTCTTAACTTTAAATTGTAACAAACCAGCGTTCACAAAGCATGCGGTGCTCTTGTTGTTGTTTTTTCACTATGGAAATGTAAGAACTGTATATAAACTTCCAAGAGGTGTAAGATTATGATACAACTCGCTATATACCTGTTGATAGAATTATAATGTTTGTTACAGGTTTTGTGAAAAAAAAATTGTAAGTCTTTAAGAGCAGCTTGCTCATTAGTCATTGCATATTTCATTTTCTCTCAAAGACAGGCACAATAAAAAACACCAAAATAATTACCTTAATTAGCTGGGTGGCCTATGACATGATGGAGGAAATTTTTGCCGTCAGGTCATTATTTAAATTTCTTTCTCTTTCCAGGTTTTGTCGGACACAAACTTACCCGATACTTGGAGACAGTTGGGCCTTGAGGGAATAGTAACACTGGCAGAGTCAGCCCCAGGAATGGTCAGAAAATGTTCAAAGCTTATTCCTATGTTAGGTGTGTAAACTAATTTATTTGAATTTAGTCCTAGATCTTTATGTGAGTCTTTGTTACTTGCATAGCTCTGTTTTAGAGCACAAAGTCTACAAAGGGCGTTCTTGACCCAGTGGTTAAGGTCTTTGACTTTCAAGCCACTTGCCTCTTGTCACAGTTGGTTCATATCCTGACAGGGACTTCGAATTCCTTCTGTGTGAGGAAATTGTCCAGCTAGCTATGGAACATTGGTGTTTCTACAGAGAGGCCCATTTGTGCATGAAATAATACACAGAGGGGTGATTAAAGTTTTCCTTCATCTGGAAAGTGGCCATGTGACCTGTACTGTGTTGGTGTGTCAGACGTAAAACCCAACAAAAATAGAAATAAATAATTCCTACAAATATCTGAAACATTTGATCTTGCTATGTAACTTGCTATATTTTTCTTTGACAATTTGGTTATGTACAATATGGTCACTGTTTCAAATAATGGGGGGAGTTCGCATATTCTTCTGGCTTGAAAAAGTGACAAAAGAAAAAAAGAAAAATGAAAAATTATAATATGTTTGTCATTTCTTTAAAAAAAATATGGACACACAAAGACTCTTTCAAGGCAGCTGCAAATATGTAAGTTATTTTGTATTGCCGTGTATAAATAGCTGCTTCCAATATAAACAATGCCTTAAACACTTGAAAAAAATCCAATTTACAAGCAAATCAGGCTAGCATGAATGAAAATCGAGATATTTTTCTAGTTTCTATGCTGTCTGGTAATTGCTTATTTTGAACACTGGTTGCGGCCTAGGATATTTTGTGTCATAACTGTTTAAAGTGGGTTTATAACTCGTCAAAAAGATCATAGATAACTAACGATGTATGGTATATATTTATAGTTCCACAAGTGTTGGCGATGATGGTAGATCTAGAGGAGGAAGAAGATTGGGCAGTTCAGGACAATTTAGATGAAGAAGATGGAGATTGGTAAATACAGTTGCTTTATACTGATAGATTACTATGTTAATATCTAGCTTGTAGTCTCACTGGTTCTGGTGTTGTGGTTCAGATCACTGACTTCAGATATGCACCTATTCCTTAGGGCTGTCATTGATGGAAAATTTTGTTTTTATTTGTCTAAAGACGAATATTGGCGATACATTAAATTAAAGAGCTTATACAGTGAAAATTATTTAAATACGTTATGTTAACTGTTATAGTAATATGCATCCTCAGGGATTTTTTCCAGGATTTTGGGAACACGACCCATACCCATGGAATTGGGAATTTTCAGCGCTGTTTTGTTAAAAATTGGGGAAAAATGCGTGACTGAAATTTTGCAGTGATTAAATGGATGCAAACAATTACTGTCTATGATGGCATCTTTAAAGATTTAAGCACTTTTACAGTGAAGAAGCCCTTCTTTGCAAAGATTCAATATTTTCATTTTGTAACTTTCAATTGGGAATTTTTTCCTGTGGATTGGGAAAATAATATACTATTTTCAATTGGGATTATGACCCAAGTACGGCTATAAAATAGGTCAAAAAAATCCCCGGTCCTCGTTTTAGACGTCACAAATACAACATTCTACCTAGTGAAAATATGTTTTACACCTTGTATGTTCTAACTGACCACTGAGGATAAGCTCGCTCCTGCTAATGCAAATATTTTCACGATAAATATCATTTTTCACCTTAACTCTTTTGACTATTATATCATGAAACAATTTATCTAAAAATAACATATTCAACCTTTAGAAAAGCTTAAGGCCAGTTTAAATGTTGAATATTAATATGGCAATATTCATTATAGTCCTATCAAAAAGACGTTATTATGATATTTTTCATAATTCTCGATAAAGTGTAAACAATTTGTATTTACAGTAACTCTGTGGCTGGAGAAAGTGCCCTAGACAGGCTGTGCTGCGCACTAACAGGCAAAACTATGTTACCACATGTCCTAGCTAATGTACCCCAGATGTTACAAAATAGTGAGTATACTAAGATACATCTACTGACACGTAAAAACTTCCATCCTTAGTTTTGCGGAAAAATTATATGGTTTATTAGTAAAAGGGGAAGAAAAAACTTTATGTAGTTTCAATTTTTGAGGAAAACTGCTTGACTGTAAAGAATGTTTCTTTGGCGAAGTCGCCCTAAAATGGCCCCTGCTAGAGAGGGAAAAACCTGAAACTGTATAATTATCCTCGTTGAATGTTCTTAATTAAGGGCCTTAATTAGGGACATTATTTTCATCAGCAAATATTCTTAATCAGGGCATTAAGCAGCAACATTACCTGTGGCTTTTAGACTTGAAGAAAATTTCTTGAGCATTTTCCACTGTATTATGTTAATTTTACTTATCAAAACATTTGTGTTTGTTATATTAGTTCTGTGTGGTGATGTGAAAAATTATTTTGAAGTAATTTATCCTATGGAAATTATAAGGAAGAACAGGACAAAAATTGGATTGCATTTTCAAATAGATAATCGGTTACTTTTCCATTAAGTACAACCTTATGTTGTGTTTACTTAAAGTAACAGTTTTGTTTATTTACTGTGTAGGTGATTTTGAGAATATCATTGGCATGCAGGCTCTGATGGCATATCTGTTTCTATTGGGGGAGTACCTCATATGGTAGCCAAATGCTATTGGCATGTATTATAGAGGTTCTTACTCATTCTTTGTAATGATCTCTGTATTGTTTTGATAATGTTGTTAAAATAAAAATTGTAATACTTAACATTTATATGATTTTTTCACACTTTTAATGCAAGGTTGTTGTGGTGTTATGAGGTGTTGTATCGATGTTTAAATAGATTCTAAAAGTTTGGAAATGATTTCTTGAACAATTTTTATTTTGATCAATGGGTTTCTTAATACAATAAGAAGGAGGCTTGCTCCTTCCCTTTTAGATTTTTGGGAAATGATAGTGTATTTGCAAAAAAAAAGGGGGGGGGAAAAAGATAAACAAGATATTATGATTAATTTAGGATGATAATGCTTTTGATTTAATTGATTTTGTTTCAAAGGGTATATGTTTGTTCAGCCTTATGCGTTCTTGTCTAGAGGTTATGAAAGTGTCCTGTGTATTAATAGTTTAATTGTGGTTTTGCGTTATTTCTAAATTTCCTATCTTTCGTTGTCTAGGTATCATACAATTTTAACTGTTACCGATGCTATTTTGTTACATAAGTTCTTAAAATATTTCGTCATTGACAATTGACTTTATTTAAATGAAATATCTAAAAGTTAAAGATTGTTGTTTGTATTGGTTTTTGTTTCAGTCAGTTCTCTAGAGTATAGTTATATGCAGCATTATGCGCTATATGCTGATTCAGGTCAACTCCTCAACAGTTTCGGGCCGAAACTTCATCAGCAAAAAATTTTCACGACAAGTTAGGTGGTGGCAAAGTAATTTTGATATCTAGGTATTTTCTTGACAATAGCATTAATAGAGTACGTTGTCCTTGTTGCTAAACCAACTAAATACTTTTCTGCAGGATTTAAAGATAACAATGTATTAGTTGAAATTACTTTGATGAAAAGGAATAAACTATTTCTGATTAGTGCTATTGCGGTATAAGTTTTTCTAGGTATTATTTCCTGGATTAGTTCAGGATTTTCAGTCTCGGTCTGAAGCCTTCCTATTTCCTTTTAAACTGTAGTAGATAAACTGCTCATATTTTCATTGACATTTACTAAATTTCTACTTACCGCATTGGAAGTCGTATTTCATTTAGTACAAGTATTGTTAGTGGTAATGCAGTTTGATGCAACCATGTATTATTTTCTCATATATTTCATGTATTACATGTTTTTAATTACAGTACATTGGATATTTGTCATAATGATAGAATCTGACTCTAAAATTTCCTAGGGGTATTCCAGCCATTCATTACGGTGCTGCTGCCTTCTATTTTCAATTTTCAGTCGGAAGACTTGCCCAAAATGGGAATCCTTTTATACATACTAATGCAGTTAATATGAGATCAATAATCGTTGAAAAGTGTCTTTCTTAGTAATATATTGTATAAGGGTATTTGTTTTGTACAGCTATATGTGTGTTTTCAAATATTTTCTTTTGTGGGGGGGGGGGGGTACTTGTATGGTTGTTTGTGACATAGGCTTCATTTTGGTCACCGTCAAGGTTTTTCTTGAGTATAGATAAAGGTTAGGTGTGTTTCTATTATAGTTGGACGCCTATTAATGTGTATTTGAACGTATTTGATATATTTCCCAGATGTCTAGGATAAAGATATAACTGCCTTAAATATAAGACGTGCGCCATCTATCTTTATTTTAAACTTCATCTCTGTCACTTTAGTGTACAGGGTTGATGCTTTGTGTATTGCGCTTTTCGTTTCTCGCCGTTCGCGTTTATGTTTTTTGTTTTTTTTGATATTTTTTGTTTTTTGTTTTTTTTTTTTTTTTTTATTTTTTTGTGTTCCGTGCGTTTCTCGTTTTTTGGTTGGTTTTTTGTTCCGCTTTTTTTTGGTTGAAACTTTTCTTTAATGAATCATCTTCCTCATTTATACTTACTGTTGAGCGCCTTTCAGTATCAACGTTTCTAGCAGAATAGTTCCTTTGTGTGGTTCGACTTCTTTAAAATTTTGTTCGAATTAGAATTTAAATTCCATTGCAGAACTCTGGTTGCCATTGGCAACCGAAAGAAAAATCTTTTAAATATCTTCTTTTAAACACCCTAAGAGCTTTGAGCTTAGATAATTTGGCATGATAACTATTCTTCTAGTGGGTGCTACCATTTTGTTCAAATTAAAGCCCTCGGGGTCAAAATTTGGCCCCGCCCCAGGGGGTCATTGATTTTCCCTATATGCATATAGTAAAAACTTAAAAAATCTTCTTTTAAAGAACCCAAAGAGCTAGAGCTAAGATATTTTGGCATGAAACATCTTCTAGTGAGTGTCTACCAAGTTTGTTCAAATAAAAGCCCTGGGGTCAAAATTGGCCCCGCCCCCGGGGGTCATTGATTTTCCTATATGCATATAGTAAAACCTAAAAAATCTTCTTTTGAAAGAACCGTAAGAGCTAGAGCTTAGATATTTGGCAATGAAAACATCTTCTAGTAAATGTCTACCAAGTTTGTTCAAATAAAGCCCTGGGGTCAAAATTGGCCCCGCCCCAGGGGGTCATTGAATTTTCCCTATATGCATATAGTTAAAAACTTAAAAAATCTTCTTTTAAAGAACCATAAAAGCTAGAGCTTAGATATTGGCAAATGAAACATCTTCTAGTGAATGTCTACCAAGTTTGTTCAAATAAAAGCCCTGGGGGTCAAAATTGGCCCTGCCGGGGGTCATTGATTTTCCCTATATGCATATAGTAAAACCCTTAAAAATCTTCTTTTAAAGGAATGTAAGAGCTAGAGCTTAGATATTTGGCATGAAACATCTTCTAGTGTGAAAGTCTACCAAGTTTGTTCAAAATAAAAAGCCCTAGGGTCAAAATTGGCCCCGCCCCATGGGGTCATTGATTTTCCCTATATGCATATAGTTAAAAACTTAAAAATTCTTCTCTTTTAAAGAACCATAGAGCTAGAAGCTTAGATATTTGGCATGAAAACATCTTCTAGTGAATGTCTATCAAGTTTTGTTCAAATAAAAGCCCTGGGGTCAAAATTGACCCGCCCCAGGGGGTCATAGATTTTCCCTATATTGCATATAGTAAAAACTTAAAAATTTCTTTTAAAGAACCCAAAGAGATAGAGCTTAAGATATTTAGCATGAAACGTCTTCTAATTGAGTGTCTACCAAGTTTCTTCAAATAAAAGTCCTGGGGTCAAATTGGCCCCGCCGCCCCAGGGGGTCATTGATTTTTCCCTATATGCATATAGTAAAAACTTAAAAATCTTCTTTTAAAGAACTCAAAGAGCTAGAAGCTAAGATATTTAGCATGAAACATGTTCTAATGGGTGTCTACCAAGTATGTTCAAATAAAAGCCCTGGGTCAAAACTGGCCCCGCCCGGGGGGTCATTGATTTTCCTTATATGTGTATAGCAAAAACTTAAAAACTTCTTTGAAAAAACCCAAATAGCTAGAGTTTAGATATTAAGCATGAAACATCTTTAAGTAAATATCTACAAAGTTTGTTCAAATAAAAGCCTGGGGGTCAAAACTGGCCCTGCCCCAGGGGTGTCATTGTTTTTAACTATATGTGTATAGTAAAAACTTTAAAAATCTTCTTTTAAATAATCCGATGAGCTAGAACTTAGATGTTTAGCATGAAACATCTTCTTATTGGTGTCTACCAAGTCTGTTCAAATAAACAAATAAAAGCCCTTGGGTAAAAATTGGCCCGGGGGTGGGGGGCCTATATACAGGTGAGCGACCTCAGGGCCATCACGGCCCTCTTGTTTAAATTGAACATAACCAACATATATAAAACAGAAGCATATTTATAGATATTTGTTGGGGTTACGGGTGTTATTGATTACTCGTGTGTCGTTTATTATAAAAATTAAAACCAAATATGACAAAATGTAAAGTCATTTTAATTTTACCAGAAAGCTCCTCTTTTACACCTGGATATAATTTCACTTTGATCAAGTGATTATTTTCCATGAATTCCAACTTGCGCCTAAAATATTGCATAGAGTGGATACCAGAGGTCTTCATCCACCAGTAAAGTTGGAAATTTGTGTGATGACCTTTACACCATCAGTATGACTAAAAAAATGGAGTAAAAATTTTATTTCAACAAGATGCAGTAAAACTGTACTGTTTCCTTTTAAATATAGAAAGAAGATAGCAAATTTGCTTTTCAAAATTGTGTTTTCATTTTAGTTGATGGAAACAGGAACGAAGATGGTTTTAGAACAGATGGTCACTACTTTAGCATCGGTAGCAGACACAGCCGAGGAAAAGTTCACAAATTACTATGACAGGTAAGCACACATCATCACCTTAGTGCAGTAATGGGTTAACTCCTTATATAATATAATAGGAGTTAACCTGTTACTGCACTAAGCTGACAACATACTTTCAATTATCTAACCATAGATGTATCATTAAATTTTGTTTATGTCTGATCTGATTTGTGTCGGACGATACCGATTGTTGCCAAAGCATTACAGTTTCAACTGTGGACATTTTAAAAATGTAAAAATATATTTTGCTTATTATTATTTCACAAGAGGGATGATAAGGGATTATCATCTGCTTAAGATGTACGAATTTCGAATCGCCCAACACCACTGTGTGTGCGAATATGAATTGGGATTTAAGATCCTGATGTTTGAGGAAGAGATTCATCTGGCTTAACCTTTTTTGCCTGCTTGCAGCAACAGATTTTGCCATGCAATCAATAAGTTATGAAAAATTGATGTGTACATTACTCAAATGCTGCTTTTATCTGAAAAATTGCATGACCCTCCGCCAGTAATAATGCTTTAAAGACATCACACGACCTTATAGATCAGAAGATGTTGGTGTGTCTTTAATAAACAGCTAAAAGAAGATGTAAAATAATTTTAAAAAATTGTTGTTTTTGCAGATTTATGCCATGTTTGAAATACATTGTACAACATGCAGACAACACCAATTATAAATTATTGAGAGGGAAGACGATAGAATGTATAAGTTTAATAGGATTAGCTGTGGGCAGAGATAAGGTAAAATTTATAAACTTATAAAATAAAATGTATATGATATATATCACTTGGCTTTAGTTGTATATAATACAGGGTTTTCATTATTAACAGATGGTGATACATATCATAAGTTGAAATGCTGTTAAAATTGGTTGTATTTTAAGCCTATAGATTAAAATAACCACCTTGTCATTTGGCAAAATTGGCTGTTTTCGTTGGCACATTTCTTGCCTCGGATAGAAATGAAAACCCTGAAAAATAATATATATCTCACTGAGAGTAGTTTTATATGATATATATCACATAGAGATGAGATGCATATGATATATATCTCGCTGAATTGAGTTTTATGTGATATATACCACACATGAGTAGTTGATGGTGACATTTATATTTTACTCGGAGTAGTTGTATATGATGTATATCACACTGGGATACAGAGAGACCTAATGTCTCGGTGACTGTACCTACTTGCTAGATAGTATCTGATATAACTCTTAAAAAATATCTGTTGACCCTAAAACCACGGATACGACAAAATAAGTCCTTGTTAATCTAAGCTTAGAGCATAGTAAAGTTTGTCGCTTTTAATTTTATCACTCTTAAGAGAAGTAATGAACTTTCAAAAATAGATTGTATATTATTTATATCTCACTGAATTTAGTTGAATGTGATATATATATCTGATATTTTCACTTTGATGCTTACGATTTAAAACATGGATGTTTTTGTACAATTATGATATGTGATATACTTTGTATATTTCATTTGGAGAAGTTGTATATGATGTATACCACACTGGGATACAGAGAGACCCAGTGTCTCGATGACTGTACCTACTTGCTAGATAGTATCTGATATAATAAATATCTGTTGTATAATGACAAAATCATTTCCAATTAAGCTTTGGACAGAGTTGAGACAGTTGTATGTTTATGAGATGTAAAGAATATCAAAAATGGTTGTGTAGATAATAACCACAAAATAACTACCTTAAGAGTTGTTGTATATGATAGATATCTCACTGAGAATAGTTGTATATGATATATATCTCACTGAGAATAGTTGTATATGATGTATACCACACTGGGATACAGAGAGACGTAGTGTCTCGATGACTGTACCTACTTGCTAGATAGTATCTGATACAACTGCTAGATTTACAACTAATTCAACAATATTTAGATAATTCCTAAATTTCAGCCATCCATCTATGTTTTTTATTTTTTCTAAACAATAAATTATATATTTAGTTTTTGTATTTTGCAGTTTATGCAAGATTGCAGTGATGTGATGCAGTTATTATTAAAAACACAAACAGATATGAAAGATCTGGCTGATGATGATCCACAGGTTAGTTAATGTTTTCATTATTCTTGCAAAATCATTAAAATTCCATACTTAACCCTTAACCTACTGGAACCAAAAGTGACCAGCCTTTGCCAGGCCAGCCTGTACATCCGTGCAGTCTGATCAGGCTCTATACTGTTGGTAGCTCAATTTTTGTATTTCCTGCTTGTACAAAAAAGATAAACATTGCACCTACGTTGCTAAGATTTGATTGCTTAAGTTTATATACTTAGTGGTAAGGTAAACTTACTTTGTATGGATGAAAAAATTGTTTCAACATATTTAGGTGAGCACCTCACATGTCAGTTATGGAGTTTCAGTTGAAGGGTTGCCTTTAAGGGTTGAGGCATCAGAATTGCAGCTACCATTTATCTCTGCATGACTGTTAGGTAGTTTTGACCCCTGTTGTTGCTGTAAAATTTGTATAACCCAAGGTTTGCCAAAATTATCTTTCCTGTTTTGGAGCCAATAATTGTGTTGATGAGCCATAAAACCAAACAAACAAATACAATGAGTCATTATCTCAATCCAAAAATAAATATAAAAAAACTCTGATATAAATATGTTTATCTTTAACTTTCAGATTTCATACATGATTGCAGCCTGGGCTAGAATGTGTAAAATTCTTGGAAAAGATTTCGAGCAGTATCTTCCATTAGTAATGGGTCCGGTTTTACGAGCTGCATCATTAAAACCAGAGGTTGCCGTATTAGACAGTAAGTTGTGTATTCAATTGAATACATAAGAAGGATAGTTTCTTGTAGCTGCAAACTTCATCTTCAAACTTCAGAAAAAATGTACAAAGATTTTAAGAAAAGTAAAATGATTTAAGTATAATTTACATGTTATGTCCGATTGATGACTGATTGTGCAATATTAATCACCATATTTCTACTGTGTGACTATTGCAGTAAAAGATATTTTTGCATATTTTGAGACCTTGGTAATTTACGTGTATTGTATGTGTCTTTGCAATATGTAAATCACTTTATTTGTTCACTTCACAATATTTTATTTTAAGATATATTTTCAAAATTTTCAATAAAATTAGCATGAAGTTTGATTGTGTAGGAAGCTATTAGCTGACTGACACTCTCTCAAATCCCTTCTTGGATACAACGTGTAATGAGTGTAAAGTATCTTGCACATGGATATTAGTGTTTGCTCTTGACGGGATTGGAATAGAAGCTGTTAGTGATTGATAGATTACTTTTCTGATGCTTTAACTACTCAAACATGCTGCCTTGTTTTATACAGTAAATTTCAATGTTTTGTATTGTTGCTATATCAGGTGAAGATCTCCCAGAGGTAGAAAATGATACAGATTGGCAGTTTGTTACCCTTGGTGATCAGGTAATTGACTGATAACTACTTGTTTAATACAGTATTTATTTTTTTATGGAAAATTATGAGGAATTCTCAGTCTGGTGTATGTAAAATATTTTTTATGTCATTATGTCTGTGGTCTTATTAGCACATCTGTTTGGAAGACAAGGTTGAGCTGTTATGCAGCATTGTTGTCGTCATGAAAAAAATGAAACGGTTATCAACATGAAGCTTGGAACACTTGCTTATCTTGACAAGTTGCATTTGTTAAACAAGGGGCATTATTCTGAAAGCAATACTTTTGGTGTTGTGCCCCTTTTTAACTTAAAATTTTTAAGCATTACTGATTAGTACCGCATTTGGTGCTCTTGTATTTCAGTAAAGTTACATGGGAAATATAGAAGAGATTGTTATTGTGTTTATACTTTAAAATCACATAAACTTTTAACATGGAAAATGTAGAATATATTGTTTATTATGTGTTTTCAGCAAAGTTTTGGTATAAAGACAGCAGGCCTCGAGGAGAAGTCCACTGCGTGTCAGATGTTGGTTTGTTACGCACGTGAATTAAAGGAAGGTTTCGCCTCATACACAGAAGAAGTTGTCAATATAATGGTGCCGCTGCTGAAGTTTTTCTTCCATGACGGTATCCTTTATATATGTAAATTACATCATCTTGCTGTACAAATATCTGGATAAAAAAGTGATCCCTCAGAAGCACTAAAATCATTAAAATTACATGAAAATCCAGATTTAGTTTGATGAGTCTGTACATGATGGATAATGAAAAAGTGCAGCATCCCTCGCGTCCTGGCACCGGCTTGAGTGATAATCAATTTTCAACTCTTAATTTGTTCAATGATCCAGAAGAACCAAAGAAGTAAAACAACACTGAAGTGAAGTACGAGGCAACTTTTTACGGCTGCCACACAGCACTTGACACCTGCTGTTGTAGGTTGTTGTGTACCCCCGGATAGTTTGATACCTGTAAAAAGTAATTTTTCACTTGTGTATCACCTTGTCCAAATCAGAATTATTTTTTTTAATCGTGCAGTTTTTACAAAAATTTAACTTGCACCAACTTTGTTTTATTTCCCCAGTTTGCGTTTTTAGTGATTATTTTCCCCAAAATCAAGAGGTTTAGGCCCCCCAATTAAGTTAGAAAAAACACTGGTAAATGTGGTGCTAGGTACCTGTGAATTTGATTTTGTGACTACCAAGTTGTATATGATGTATATTACACTGGGATACAGAGAGATGACATCTCTGTGACTGTACCTACTTGCTAGATAGTATCTGATAAACAACTTGTTTTGAAATGACACAATATTATTATGCTACTTCTTGAAGACTTCACAAGATTGGAACATTGTATGCTGATGAGGATATTTGTAGTGTTAAGAAATTGTTTTATACTTATCACCTTACAGGTATCACTGACAGTAAGAATTTGTAAAAGAGTCTTAAATGTTTAATGGGCCTCTACCCTTGCAGGGGTTTTCAGGTTAATTAGGTCAAGGTCACATAGGTTAAAGATATAATTTTCCTTATTGTCTTCACAGAAAAGCCAAGATTCTAGATTTTGTCAAGAGACAATTTGGAGCATCCATAGATGTTATCAATATTCTTTTTGTGTTTTGACTTTTTTCTGTTAATGTTTGTAAAGAATAATTTCAATTGATTTCTTTAACAACTTTATCAGAGGTTAGAACATCCGCAGCTGAAAGTTTACCATACCTCATAGAATGTGCGCAGATCAGGGGAGATAAATATGTGGAGGAAATGTGGAAATATATCTGTCCTAACCTTCTCAAAGCTATCGAGCTGGAACCAGAAATATCAGTCTTACCAGAACATATGGGATCCCTAGCTAAAGTAAGTTTAATTAGCTTGTGTGTTTTCAAAGAAAAAGTCAACCTATTGTAATCGCTGCAGCAGCATTGTCGTCATGCAAAAGCTTTAATGATTTTATGATGTTAGGTTAAGCATGACAAAAAAATAAATCCCAACAATTTGTCATAAAAGTTAATTGAATAGTAAAATGTTGAAGAGCAAAAAAAAAAGTTCAAAATTTTATCATTAATTATTTGCTTGTCTGTTTCGAAGAAATTGGTGGTTTATAGTGGTTGCTCTTTACAGATGAGCATTAACACGGCATGCTGTGCTCCTTGTTTTCTAGGTACGTTTTACTGTTTTAAGTAAAGAAAAAAGCATGTCCCAAATTCTGTAAGTGAAACAAATATAAACAAACAATAATTTAAAAAAAACGTCGGTTTCTATATCTGTGTTGTATAAATTTGTATATTTTGCTAATATATGATAAAGTGTTAATGTATGTGTTGTGCTGTTACAGTGTATAGAGATTCTTGGGAAAGGATGTTTAAATACAGAAATGATGGCGCAGTTAATGCAAATATTAGATAAACAATTAAAATCACATTTTGAACGACAAAATGAACGTCAAGAAAAAAGAAAAGATGAAGATTATGATGATGTAACAGAGGAACAACTTATGGAAGAGGTAAGAAATAGAAATCTCTTATGTGTGGTTATTTTGTACCAGAGGGGGTAAAACATGAAAAAGACATTGCTATTTAAAGGGGGCAGGGGGTGGGGGATATAGTTTTGCCTTTGTCCTTCATGCTGTCTTTAGACTCACAAAACAGTAAAATGTGACTTGAATAATAATAGGACCCTTCTTGGCTGATTAGATAATGTTGATAAATTTAAAGTTCTTGCCCCTGACAGAACATTGAGAATTTTAATAAGGTGCCCTAGTCACTATTGAAATCTGATGAGGGCCTCAGGTACATTATCTCGGGTAATGATAGAAAGTTGCATGTTGTCAGTTTTTTCCATTTTATCTAAAACATTGTAAAAAAAATTCAAATTTGGGTTATGTTCTTTGCCAAAATACTGAGAATTAAAACCTCTGCATCCATATTTAAACAAGAATGTGAATATAAATCTTTTTGCGAATACTATAGAAATATAGATTAAACTATAAATGTAATGTAAACGTTAAAAATTTGTGTCGGAAGAAAAATACACTTACTATTAGTTCAATAGAAAAGTTTTCTTATATTAATGGTTTTTACTAAATAAATGTTAACTAAAAGTATCTGGGACTGCATGTAAAGCGAAAGTTTTAAAATGCTTAACTCTGGTAAATTCGTAAAAAAAATGTGTTTCAACAAAAAGTCTTCAAGTGAAATTTTAAATAGTTATTGAGAACAGTGGTTATTTGGAATTATCAATATTTAGGGATAACGGAGTATATTTAATGAAGAATGAACTGTCAATATTTATATTATGTCATTTTGTTGTGATGCGTTAACAGTTTTTATTTATTTTCTTTCAGGATGATGAAGACGTATATATACTTAGTAAAATCTCAGATATAATTCATTCATTATATGGAACGTATAAAGAAGAATTTGGTCCTAATTTCGATACCTTGTTGCCTTATTTTGTTAAACTTGTCGTAAGTATTCTCTTTCCTTTTGAAATAATAAATATTTATTTTTAACCTTCTGGAACCAAAAAAGTGGTTAGTCTTGCCAGAGTTATGGAGCAAATCCAGCGGTGGATGCCCTTGCAGTCTAATCAGGCTCTATATTGTAAGGTGACTTACTTTAAAATTTCACCTTGATATCCCCAAAATAGATAATGAACAATTCCAATAATAGATGCTGGTCAACAAAAATTCAGGAGGAGAAAAGTTAATTTACTCACTTGTGAAAAATGTTTCAAGTCTTATCAGTGGTCACTTACCTGTCCTCAAATAAAATCTGGACACAAACACATTCAGAAGCTCTTTAGCTCTTAACAGGTTGAATTTTTTTATAAATCTGCCTGGCCTTTAATTTGGAGCAGTCCATTTAAAATATCAGGTGGATGCCACTATTAAAATACAAAATTCAAGCTATCAACAGTATAGAGCATGGTTAGACTGGCTTAAGGCCCAGCAGTATGGCTCTTTTTTGCAAGTAAAGGATTAAAATTGATGTATGATTTTGAATTCATATTTTGAATATTATATTTGGATATGATAAATATCTCACTGAGAGAAGTTGTATATGATGTATACCACACTGGGATACAGAGAGACATAGTGTCTCGGTGACTGTACCTACTTGCTAGATAGTATCTGATACAACTACAGGCTCAGAAATGGGGCCATTAAAAAAAAAAAACATCAGAAAAATGAAAATCGACAACAATGTACATGTATTATAGTTGACACATTTCAGAATTCTGTTTAAACATAATGCATACAGACTTTGGAAGCCTATAATAATAAATAAAAAAAGGTTTGCACTTTCAAGGACATTATGTTGTCTTCTATTTAATTTTACATTTAAGAATAATTAAGATTTGATAATGATTTCACTATTTTTATAGGGGAAAAAGAGTTTGATATTGTTCCTTAGTCATGTAAAACAGGTTGAAATTTGTGATTTCAGGGTCCAGAAAGACCGTGGCCAGATAGGCAATGGGGTCTTTGTATATTTGATGATGTTTTAGAACATGAAGGACCGGTATGTATATTTGTATTTGTATTTTCTTTACCAGCTTCGCTTAGTATTCATATTGTGAACATTTGAAGACCTTTGCTCATCATAGGTATCTGGTATTGATACTGAAAGAGTGATCAGCTGCTCCATTGAGGAGTTTTAGACCAGCCTCATGTTCATATAGTCGGTCAGTCAGTTTACTTTCAGACCAGAAACCTGTATAGTTTCAGCCACATGTCCTTGTAGTCTTGAATGTATGTTGGCTGACCAACTTCAAGTTTAATCTTGATATCGGATTTATCCCCAAATTTGATAATACTCTGTGCCAATTATTGGAGCTGGACAAGTTGAAGAAATTCAACTGGTTGAGGGTTTTAAATAACCTCTTTATCAACTTGCAAAGTTTTCAATTGTAAGACAAATTTTAATTGTTATCTATTATGATTATGTATATGTCAGAAACATACTCGTTGTTTATATGTAATCTTATCAGTGTGTAAATTAGTATTTTGGGAAAGTAGATTTCACTCGTTCATATATTTATTCATTGCAGCGTTCGGTGAAATATCAGGAGTTTTTCTTACAAAGTTTACTCAACAGTGTCTGTGATAAACAAGCTGAGGTTAGACAGGCTGCCGTATATGGTGTAGGCATTATGGCAATGTTTGGTGGTGATGCTTATGCTCACCTTTTCCCAGGTAAATTATCGTTTTCCCCAGTAAATTATCATTTTTCCAGGTAAATTATTGTTTTGTCAGGTAAATTATTGTTTTACCAGGTAAATTATTGATTTCCCATGTAAAATTATAGTTTTCCCAGGTAAATTATTTTCCCAGGTAAATTGCCATCAAATCATGCTGAAAAAGAAAAAATATCATTACTCATAAAATCTTAAGTCCTGCGCAAAAAATGACTTGATTTGCTTCACTAAGTTGACGCAGTGACAGGTTATTCTATATTCATTGATAATTGTGTGCAAGCGTCTGATCTTGTCCTAACTGAATGGATTGATCTTAAAAAAGCAATTTTTCAAGTAAATCTAATCATCTAGATATTTGTACTTTGAACAAAAATCTATGTCTTGAGAATATAAAACAGATTTTATATGCAGTGTTAAAATAAGTTGATTTGTTGTTGGTTTCAGAAATTATGCCACGATTATTACAAGTTATACAAGATCCAGAGTCAAAGTCGGTGGAGAACCTGAACCCCACAGAGAATGCAATATCAGCTGTTACGAAGATCTGTAAATACCACGGTGATAAAGTAAATCTGACGGAGTTAATCCCCTTGTGGTTGTCGTGGTTACCAGTGACGGAGGACGAAGACGAGGCGTGTTATATATACGATTACCTGTGTGATCTAATTGAAAGGTCTGTACCGTGTTGAAAATCGAAACTTTTTTTTTAAGGCTGTTTAAAAGTTTAATTGGCTATTATAGAATATATTGAGGTACCTATTTACAGAAGGTAATTTAGTTGTCCCATTTTGTACTATACATTGTTTTAAGCACTACTGTTGGAAGAATAGCAAGAGTTATTGTACTCAACCTAGGTGTGCTGACGTCACATTTAAGTTTTACATGTATGTTGATATCTTCAAAACAACTATTGTCTGAATATTAAGATAAAAACTTGCACACCCATAAGAATTGCAGCCACTGTCTTTCCCTGCATGATCATAAGAGGTGACTAAATGGGTCCAAATAATAGTACTGGAGTTAATAGATCTCTAAGCTTTAGCAGGTGAGGTGGTTTGACCCATAGAGTTGCTAATCATCTTTCCTGTTTCGGGGCCGTAGAAGTTTACTGTGTTGGTGTGCCTTAGAATTAAACACATACACACACACACTTTTGAATTTCAGAATAAAAAGACCTTTCTAGAACAAATTCTAAATTCAGGACTTGATTTTCAGAATTTTTTACATATTTACTACTTCCTTACTAGGTGAATGTGAAAAGAACCATGTTATATCTTTTTGTAACCGTGAAGATATGATAAATGAGATGTTTAATTAATGGATTTTTTTTATTGTTTTCAGCAATAACCCGTTAGTACTGGGGGAAAATCATCAAAACTTTCCCATCTTGGTACAGATATTTGCGGAGGCGTTTTATCGCAGTGTATTAGATAAAGATGCAAAAGTGAAAGAAAGAATCCTTACACTTATTAGAACTGGAATGGTAAGCATCTTTTTTAAGTTCTCTAAAAATAGTATCAACGGGTATTTGATGTTATATAATTTGTTGTAATTTTGTTGTTCTTTCCTGGATTACTTATCCATTACTTGCCCTATGAACTAAGCAGGCAGATATACCTGGTGTATTTGTTCAATTTTTTTATAACCAATAGAAATGAAGTTCAAAAACAATGAAAATAGTGTTACCTATAGCTTAATATGCTTGAAACGAAAGTTTTTAGTATTACATTGATGGTGTGTTTTTGTTTGTTTATTTCAGGCCAACCAAGAGATATATCAGGCTTGTTTAAGTATCCTTAATGAAGAACAGAAAACAGCGTTACAAGATGAACTTTCTAAATCTGTGACCCCTGTACAACAATGACGTACAGAGTGAATTAGGCCACCAAAAACATATAACTGTAAACAATAAGACTTCCTGTGTCTTGATTAAGCAGAATTCTGCACACAAAAGATTATGATGTGAAATTCTTCACAAAAGTGTGAAATTTTGATTGTGCAAAATTCTCTGCAAACAAAAAAGATTTTGATGTGAAATTCTTCACAAAAGTGTGAAGTTTAAATTGTGCAAAATTCCGCAAAAAAAATAATAAAATGAATTTTTCGATGAAGGAAATTTCTCAGTAAAATTTCTACATAAAATCCTACCTTGTATCAGACATTTAAGAGTTGATTTTTTGCTTCGAAAGATGGTCTTCCTTCGACTCTATTATCATCAGCTGCTATGTTATGAGGAGATAATGACAGATGGTTACAGAATGTGCTTAGAATAGTTTAAACATTATACCAAACTGATGGTTTCGATGAATTTAAATGTGCTGATAGATTATTTTTTTGTGAAATTTCTATTCTTGTAGAAACAACTATCCACGGGTTGCCTTGATTTGTGTCCCCAACAGGGTGACCGTTTGACCCCATAAATGACTCTTTGGCCCTTCAAATTTCCAAAAGGCTTGATTTGATCCTCAGGATTTTAACTGGAGGGTCAAATTTTGTTAAAATCATGGGGATTTGGCCTTGTAGTCAAAATGACTCTCAGGATTTCGTGGCTAGTGAACACCTTGCCCTAAGCATATTTACAGTGCAAGTTTGATATGTTATTATGTCTTACTGCATAAACTTCTATGGTGATGAAATGTTACAGATACAGAAAATTTACAAATACAATAAAAAAAAAACAATACAAAGGCACCTGTGGATATTTGATGCAGAAAACATAATTTGCTGCATCATGGTATAAAAATGGTCGAAGCATTATTAGTGTGTTTTTGCTTTCGGTTGATGAGCAAGTTTACTTTTTATTCAAATTATATTATCCGAAACGGCTTATTGTCTTTCATTTTTGATGTTGATTTGCATGTTTTCTTTGTATTTGTCATGGTGTTTATTTTTTAAGTTAATTTGGAATGGCATCTGTTAGTATAAATGGCGCGCACAATTTGCTGGTATCTTGATATATAAGTTGTGTTCATTAAAAAATTTGCTGGACATGATTGTGATTTTAAAAATAAAGAGTAAGAAGATAGGTCGATATCTAAGGAAAATGTTATGTTGATAAGGTTACTTTTGATTTGCTCACAGTTTTGGCCAGAACATTGTGATATGATGAAATTGTTGCTGAATGTTTTGAGACTGTATTAAGTCCTAGGAAAGCACATTATGCCTCAAAAACAAATAAATTTTAATTCTTTAGAAAGGGCAAACATGAATTTTATATTGTTTAAATAATGGTTTTAGAGAGTGTTAGATGCTTGTTATATGTGGAAAGTAAAAATGTGAAATAATTTGTCATGACAGTAGCAAAATGTAAACAATATAGTATTTAGAATACCATACAAAATACATATTCACTATAACTGTACTTATTGCCAAAAAGCAGCAGATGAAAAAGATGGTTCATTTTATTTGACCACTGAGTAACTTTTTGAATAGTAAAAGGTACACCTAAAATTATAAAGCTTTCGAGAAATAAAATAAAATTGTTCTGAGCCATGTGTCAGCAGTATTAATAGTAATATTACTGATATATGTAATGATAGTAAAAATGGAATGTAGGACAAAACCCCACCAGTTAAAACCCCACCACTCAAAATTTTATAGTGGACAAAACCCCACCACTAAATTTTATAGAGTGGACAAAACCCCACCACTTAATTTTACACAGTGGACAAAACCCCACCACTTCAGTTTTATAGAGTGGACAAAACTTTCTTGTAAACATGTTAAAAAACTAACAATTGTGCATCAGCAAAACTCAAAAGAATGTGTGAACAACTCCTCAATAAGGAGAAGACCGTACCCGAGTTTCTATAGGCTATCAGCCACAGTATCCACTTAAACTAAGTACAATGAAGTTCAATGAAGGAAAATTGACTGAACTGAATAAATTAAAAAATGTGCTATAAAAATGTGCTATGTTTTAATCATTAATTGATGAAAATGTGCTTCATTCTTGATTAATAGTAAGTACAGTCCGACCCCGGTTATTCGACAACCCATTATTCGAATACCCGGCATTATCCGAAGTTGATCTACGGTCCCGTTTTCATCTCTATATAAACTAATATAAATACCAACCTATTATTCGAAATGCATTATCCGAATACCTCCTATTTTTCGAAGCAAAATTTCGGTCCCGATTATATCATTATATAAGAATTTCACACCTATTATTCGAAGCCAGACTAATTGGCACTGATTGACTCGCTGACCGTCCCGACTTGTGAAAAACTTTGCGGAAAAACTTCTAACAACGGTGCGTGTATTTAGTTAATCGTAATAATTAATTATAACGATTTGCGTGTACATTTTCAACTTTAATTACCGAACATTAATTGTACGCTTTTAATTGGACGGTTAAAAGTGTTCAAAATAATTATTTTAATTAATGAATGAAACTAAACAAATGAAAATAAACTGTGATATTAATTGGACGGTTAAATCTGTTCAAATTAAGATTTTAATTAAAGAATGGATTGAAAAAAATAAACAAATAAAAACAAACAACTAGCGAACTGTTTCATGTTTTTCTTTATAAATGTGAATTCCCAGTTTCTATTTCAAATCATTGCAATATTTCTACGTTAGCACAAGATATTCTGGCTGAGCAATCTTGGATGTTTAATATTACCGAAATGTGTCTTTGAAAATTACATTTAGAAGTGAAAAATAATATGACTTTTCAAGTTGCTTGTTTATATTTTGACGAAGATAAAATATTAATATTACTTGTATAATGTTGAATACATTTGTAATGCATGTACATGTATATCTATGATTTAAATCCTGCGCCCGTGCCCGATGTTGTTTTTTTTTTCTCTCATACGGAAGATGACAACGATATTTTTAATGTTCATGCATGTTTATATTTTAAACATTTATCATTGTTTATTTGTTTTTCTCGATTGATTACCGGTATCAGATGAGTTGTAAACATTTAATTTCGCTAGAATTTGCGATATATGGTCAAGTGGTGTAGTTTTCGTCTATCACTATGTTCGGATTTGGATTATTCGAACCCATCGATTTTTCGAAGTAAATTTTCAGTCCCGGGAACTTCGAATAATCGAGGTTGGACTGTAGTTTATCTTCTATATAAATAAATTGAAGAAATGAATTTGAAGAAACTAAAAATAATGGATAATTCAAGGTCATAAATGTGGCACAGTCTCAAATAAATGACTGCTCTTTGATGTTGATTTAACAGTTTGTAAATTATTTGTATAATCTCTTAAAATTGAAATTAAAAAATAAAATGTGAAGATGTGTACTGTATATTATATATATTTTAATTCATCAAATCTTGCCCAATAATTGGTAAGTGGTGGGGTTTTGTCCACTCTGTAAAATTTAGTGGTGGGGTTTTGTCCACTCTATAAAATTTAGTGGTGGGGTTTTGTCCACTCTATAAAATTTTGAGTGGTGGGGTTTTAACTGGTGGGGTTTTGTCCGTCTTCCGTAAAAATGTACGCTATCAGGTCACATTTAATATATGTTTAATTCAGAAGTTCCCTATAGTTCAAATAGCAAGATGGTGAAGAAACACTAAAACCTAATGAAAATATGTAAATATATTTTCTTATATAGCTCTATCACACATGTATTGAAGGCATTTGGTTGATATTGTCCATGATATTTTTGTGTTCATACTTTATGTTCATAATTATAATGATATCAGTGAGCATATGCGGTTATTTGTGAGCATTTGTTTGGCGAGTTGTGAGCATATGCTCTTTAAGTTTTGATTATTTGTTGTAAGTTAAAAGAAATATGCTGTAATGTGTGGGCATTATGGTGCAAATGCTGCCAGAGAATTTCTTCTAAATTGTGCGCATAACTCGTACATGAGAAATTTTCTTTCTAAATTGTGAGCATAAACTGTACATTGTAACCATAGACTGTTTGAAACATTATACTGTAAATTGTGAGCATATACTCTAAAAGTGTGTATTTGCTGTAATTATTTTTGCATATACTGTGAGCATATATTCCGGAAGTTAAAAGTTGTGAGCATAGACTGTAGCTTGTGAGCATATATTCTGTATGTTGAAATTGTGAGCATATTCTCCATACGTTGTGAGTTTGTTATGAAGTTACAGTCATACATTTCTCAGGTGTTTTGTGTGTTATACACACTGTATTCCCCTTGTTTAGTCATTTAAGTTTATAGGACCAGAAACAAGCTTTCAGAAAACAGTTTCGCCAGAATTTATTGAAAGTATTGATTTAGTCAAGTAATTTATCCACGCACTACTGTAATTTAGGGATTGACCAGAATGGAAAGAAGACGTGTTAAGAGTCCTGCACCCTTTTAAGTTTTGAGAGAAAAAAATAGCATTCTCTGTGTTTGGTAGGAAGAACAGTATTATTTGTTTTTCATATCCCTTACACCACCTAACAGCGATTTTGAAGTCAACATCCTTCTAGAAAGTAGTTCCTCCCATTACAATAAATGCAACAAGCAATCATAATGGATTTGTTATGTTTACCAAGTCTTGTTAAAAAATAATTACAAAAATGTAACAAGTACATTGTTTGTGTGAGAGCCCGTTTCATATCCTATCTTTTATGGCAAAATTTTTGTTTTTGTTTTGACAGCTTTTTGTTTTGATGCATTCAAAGTGCTATGCATTTGTTTTGATTGTTATTCCCATCAGTAGAATGTTTATATTTTGTATTGTACCATATATAATTACGTAGTTGAGAGTCATTTTGAAATGTATTGAATACTGACATACATTTCTGCGATTGTTAGTGCTTTTTCAAATTATAAATTTTATAAGTTATTCAAATGGACTTAAATTGGACTTGAATTATGAATATGAATTATAAACTACTGGTGGATGGATTAATACAAGTTATATACATGTATTAGAGGACTGTTTATTTTTTTTGTTTCGTAAAATTTGTTGATGCTTTTCTCCTTGACCATTCTCATTAACTCATGTTTTTCTCTCAGATAATTCCATGTAAATGCTGTAAAAAAAATGATAATAAAATGTATATTATTCACATACTACTTGTTGAGATTTTGTTTTTGCCATAGAACCTTCTCTGTAAGACAGGGGTCAGACAGGACACAAGACAGAGGTTAGACAGGACACAAACCCCAAGTAAGACAGGACACAAGACAGAGGTCAGACAGGACACAAGCCCCAAGTAAGACTGGACACAATCATAATCCCCAAGTAAGACGGGACAGAAGTAAGATAAGACAGTGTCTGTCTTACGCAAGGCAGAAGTAAGACAGGACATGACCCAGGGAGTAATATATTTCATGTTTACTCACTTTCAACCTGTGAAACTTTACAGGCACAAGGGAATTCATAAATCGCCCCCGTAAGCTTATATGAAATCGATGTTTAGAAAATCTGGTGGGTTGGTTTTTGTCCGGAGCATATCTCAAAAAGTATTGAGGTATCGACTTGAAACTTCATAGGTGGATATATCTCATTGAGGGGAAGTGCAGTGCACAATATCTCAAAAAGTATTTGTGGTATCAACTTGAAACTTCATAGGTGGATAGATCTCATTGAGGAGGAGTGCAGTGCACAAGAATGATAACTACCCTGCATAATTTTTCAGTTATTGCCCTTTGTTATTTTTCAAACTTAATTTTTGTCCAGAGCATAACTCAAAAAGCTTATGAGATATAAACATGAAACATCACAGGTGGATAGATCTCACTCAGGTGTGCAGTGCACAAGAATGATAACTCTACCTTTCATAATTTTTGAGTTATTGCCCTTTGTTATTTTCCATACTTAATTTTTCACCTGAGTGACGCATAACTCAAAAAGTCTTTGAGATGTCAACATGAAACTTCATAGGTGGATAGATCTGACTCAGGAGGTGTGCAGGGCACAAGAATGATAACTCTACCCTTCATAATTTTTGAGTTATTGCCGTTTGTAATTTTTTATACTTAATTTTTCACCTGAGTGGAGCATAACTCACGAGTCTTTGAGATGTCAACATGAAACTTCATAGGTGGATAGATCTTATTGAGGAAGAATGCTGTGCACAAGAACGATAACTCTTCCCATTATAATTTTTGAGTTATTGCCCTTTGTTATTTTTCATACTTTTTGTCCGGAGCTTATCTCAAAAAGTATTAAAGGTATCAACTTGAAACTTCATAGGTGGAAAGATCATATTGAGGAGGAGTGCAGCACACAAGAATGATAACTCTACCTTGCATGATTTTTCAGTTATTGTCCTTTGTTATTTTTCATGCTTAATTTTTGTCCAGAGCATAACTATAAAAGCCTTTGAGATATCAACTTGAAACTTCATAGGTTGATAGATCTCATTGAGGAGGAGTGCAGCACACAAGAATGATAACTTACCCTGCATTTTTTTCAGTTTTTGCCCTTTGTTATTTTCAGCCATCAGTATTCACATAGGTTCAAATCTGTAATCACTTCAGCCATCAGTTTTCATTACCGAAAGAACTCTTAAAATTGAATTATTCTGCTCTACTACATATATATTCTTCCAATGAGCAAACACATTCGGCGAGGGATGGCCATGTTGACACGGCTCTTGTTAAACTTAGAATACACACTTGTAACAGCAGAACATCAAGGTTAAAAATTTAATCACAAATCGCTGACATCTACATAAAATAATTTGATTGTAATATTTTAAATAATGCGAAATCTTATAATACATCAATTGAAATAAGAATACAATTTACTCGCCAGTTAACAAATACACTAGTAGAAGAACGGGCCGTCCGTGAGGCTTCATACCACCTGTTTCGCACCGCTGTGGGTTCAAATCCCGCTCAGGGACTTTACACTTTCATGTAAGCAGACTATCCAGCTTACTTACGGAATGCCGGGGGTTCTACCCAGATGCCTGCTTGTGTATGAAATAACTCACGGACATCTTCCTTAGTAAAGCTGGAAAAGCACCAAATGACCTTGACAGTAAAGGTGTGACTTAAAATTCGATCAAGCATAATCATAAGCTGTCAGTAAACATATAGATATATCATATTAACTCAAAATAGAATGAATCTTATAATTTACATTAACAAGATTTTATCACAATGTTAGAGCAATTAAACCAGGATGCAACAAATGTTTTTATATTATTTAATGTTAACAGTGTACACTGAAATTTGTTTAAATAGAATTTAAATATTCAAAGATATATAGACAAGACAAATACATGTATGTTTAAAATGTTTGCGTAAAAATATACATGCAAGTGTTGCTGTAAAATTCTTATTTATTTTACTGCACGTTTGTAACGTCGATTATCCATTGGACCATGACTATGAACGGCAGCATCAATTTTAATTCATTTTAATCAAAGAAATAAAAGTTAGAATAAAAATTCAATGAAAATACTTTGAATAGGTTACTATAGTAAATGACCGTGTATAAAACAGCTGTGTGACCAAGCATACTTGATCATCTAAGCTTACATCCGTTTTTATTGGACCATATAACCAGTAAAAATCTTTAAAACTAATAAAATACACAAATACATTTAGATATTCTCAATGGATTTTAAAAAACATGGGACGGACTTTAGATTCACTTAAAATCAAAAATTGTTGTTCTAACATGTTTTACCCACTAGATATCTCTCGAACCATATTGCCTTTGTCGTATATTTTGAACAAAAGGAATTTCTGGCGTTTTAAGAAGGTCACAATCCTCACTAGTCACTTCAAAACCAATACTCCATTTTGATTTTTGAACAACCAATTTGGCGCCAGTTTTCTTTGCGTCACCACCACAAAATTCTGATGTCATTTTACGAATTTCTTTAAAATGTAACAATTCATCATCGAAATCGTATCCCTCTTCTCGAATTTGATCACGAAGTTTCTTAAAGAAATGTTCGTACAGGGCATAATCAACCTTTGCCCAACGCTTGTACATCTGTCTGTCATAAGGCCCGACAAGCTTCGTTTCGTTTTTATGTTTTGCAATATTTTTATCTAAATATAGAATATCCTTTGTTGACCAGCGTAAATACCGACGCATTAGAACAATAGACTCTTCAAATTGCTCAGCAATTATGACTAGATTAAAATCGTCGTCCACATTTTTCACAAATTCAACAATTTTCATTTTGTCACCTGATTTCACGACGTCTTCCGGACAGCCGAATTCCACCGCCATTCGGTTGTTCGTAAATGAAAACACTGCGCTCTTTGGTTCGTATCTAAGTGGATTTTTCAGATAGTCGGAGGCTGGGATGTTCGTTTTTATTTTGTTATACAAATACCCAGGCTTTAAATAATTTAAAGTAGATTTAAAGAATTCATATGGTTCTCGTAGAATTCCAACATAAAAAGTGTCGTTTGGCATAAAACTTCGAAATGCATCACGGTTGTAGATCACGTGATTACACAACATCTCGAAGTGTTTGCCTCTAGGTGGCGGCAGTGTATTATTCGCGTGCAATGATTCCCGGAGACTAATGATGTTTGGGTATCTAAACATATTGTGAGCCGGGGGAAGGACAAATGTAAGATTTTGCCCCCATCCAAACCTGAAAGTACAAAAATACTACGATTGTAGTTTATATTGTAAACATTTGCGATAAAATACCGCTTAAATTTTTTTTTTTTAATTTTTATTCACATAATTGTGTTAAAATCTTATTTATTCTAAAAAAAGCGTGTATTGTACCACTCTGACTGTACTGACTGAACAGTTAAAACCATGACCAGACTGCACGGCATCTTGGTCTGCACTGGTCCCTTGTGTATAATCTGTTGCAGTCAGTATTGCAGTAGGTAGGCTTACGGTTAAAACTATTCGCAATAAGAAGAAAAATGAGTTAAAGTTCGCTACATAAAACAGACGACATTCTGTTTATTCTGTTTAAAAAACTATTCGAAAAGAAAGATGAATAGTCTAATTATTAGCACCATTTACATGTAATAGGGTTAGTTTTTGTCCTTTTAAGTTTACCTTAGAAAAATATTTTGTGCCGTGGTACTTCCGCTCTTGTGAACTTTGAGGAATGCCACATGGTAGCGTCTATTGTCCTTCACCTCTTCTGACGTATCACCTGAAACTACCTGATAATCAAAGTACATACATACTTATTAATTGAAGTAACACGTATCACTATAAAATTAGGCTACTTTCCAGACGAAAACAGTGTATAGGGAGTTCTTTCATGTGAGGAAGCTACCATGGTTGAAATGTTTCTACACTAATGCCCCCTCGTGACGTGGTACTTACGCCTTGTGACTTTGAGAATGCCACGGTAGCGTCTATTTCCTTCACACTCTTCTGAGTACACCTGAAACACCTGAAATACAAATTATAAAGTAACATACTTAATTCAATACAAGTGAAAGTATCACTATAACTACCTTCCTAACGATAAGATAGTTTAATAAATCTTGCAATGTTTTTCTAAAAGTTTCTAAAAGATGTACGACACTTTACTCGCACCGTGGGTGACTCGGCGCAAGTTTCATTTAAAATCATCATTTTACTTGAAGACTTAAATTGTCAGTGCTTAAAATTGTCTATATGTATGTATCGATACTCAAAGAGTGCTGTTATTTGAAATAAATGTGTATACGAAAACATAAGGCTCATTCACTTGTAAATGTGACAAGAAAGTTACTACAAAGGAGTAGTATTGAGGTTTAGCAATGGACTCCTAATCGTGGGTGACGCGTGTCCAGATCCACCAAAAAGGGACCCTTACATTCTAATTAAAACTCGATTGCTAAACAAGTTCTTGCAACTTATATTAATCACTTTTGAGTCCGCTTCCTGAAACTAACCAGTACTGGTGTCATATAAAGAAACATAGTCGTGACCTAAGTAGGGCTCGAACCCATGATCCCTTGGTTAAGTGCAGGCACCTTAACCACCAGGCTACGGCTTCCCTTACATTAATGGAGAGAGGAAAACAACAATGAAACAAACATTATTTGTAAATTAGTATTTTTTTTACACAAAGTATACCTTAAAAGGAGAATGTTCCAGCTGCAGTTGACGGTAAAGATCTTCAGGCGTGCGGTAATACTGACTAGACGAGGGGGGCAGTTTGATTGACAGAACAGCAAATAACACAATAGCAACCAATATCAGCCTGTAAAATCAAGTTATAAACTTTAATTGGATAAAACAAATCTTCACAAGTACAGGCATGGTATTGCTTTTGTAACATATCAACAATGTCTCTTCTTGGTATCAAGTTGCAGCCATAATATGCACCGCACTTAACGCTTGATTAAAGATTGGCGAATTAAAAATTATGCAGTTGATAAGCGTACGCTTTTAGATATATTAAAGCATACATCTATCGACGCTTGATAAAAATTTATGAAAGCAAACATCTATCAACTGGACGCTTAATAAAATACATAATTATATCGTTAAAGAAAGTATTTACTAACTACAATAGCATAGGCATTAGTACAATGAAAGTATCTCCAAACGCAACTTATATTGTAACTGCAAACATGTAAGACTAAATCTATTAAAGTAACTAATTCAAACTGTTCAATAAAGCAAAAACCAAATAAGAAGATATATGAATAGGAAAAGCCCATGGTAAAACAAATCCTCATACTGCTGAGACAGAAAGATGGCAAAATATCCGCAGAATGGCACTGCGCTGGGCGTTGAGCATACTGTCGCTACTGTGGCGCCAAAACAAAGCTAGTGTGCGAGGGCATATGGAAGGTAAAGTCAGGACTCTCTACCCCTCTATCCCCCGTAGTGAACGTATTGTCCAGATGTCGGTGCTAATTGGTATTATATTTTCAAAAAGTGTGTGTCCAGTCAATAACACACAATACGAAAGCATTTCTAGCATTTCATTATTGTTTAAAGGCCGATTTAAATACTGTAATTTTTATTTTCTCACAAGCTTTGTTATATTTATTTTTGGGTTTTTTCTTACAGTTTTTGAAATGGTACTTATATTGAATATATATCTAAACCATCTTTTGCTACTGTTGCCACTTGGCCATTAGTAATTAAAGTTGAAGCGATTAAGCATTTAATATGAAAGACAATTTACGTTTTGCTACATTGACGTTAATGGACGTTTATTATACATTCAACGCTGCTAATATTCATTCCTGTGACTTCATGTGCCTTTAAAGTGATTTTATGAGGATTGTAAGTATTTTACGCGTAGTTTAAATGTCAATTTGATACTGTTGTAAGAAATATCTTAGCATCTACATAGACAACAATGGATAAACCACTGGACCGTTCGTTTGATTAATGCATTGTATAGTATATACATTGTATATATAAAAAGCTACGGGCAATTTTTTCAATATTCAATCTTCCCTTGATTAGGTTTGTGGTGTATAAATTGGATACTTTATTTGACGTAATATAATACCTAACGTGACCGGGATGTATATCACTATAACCATTATGTACATGTACAAATCAATGTACATCTATGTTAAAGGAACTCCACTTAGATCCAAAAAGCCTAATAACATAAAATTTGGATTTCCTACATGCATCAGCAGGGGCACTTAAAACAGAAAGATATATAAACATATAACTGATTGAAAATCGTTGTCTCGTGCCGTTCTTTGTCCGGTTTTAGTGAAAAGCGTTGCAACGCTATCCAAATTTGGGTCATTTTTCACAATTAGAATAATTATTCTGGAAAAAATGGAGTAAGCAAAAAGTCTGAAATTTTTCACACTAGCTGAAATTTTTCACACAAGCTATTTGTCTAGACCTACGTCAAATGGACCATTAATCTCGAGAAATTGTTTTCAGTCCGTAATGTCAAAAAGCCGTAGTGAAGTCCCTTTAAAATATACACTATTTATTTGCCGGCAATAGCAACTTTTTTGCCCTTTCTCGCTAAACTTCAGATATATTATTCCCTGCGGTCTGGAGACCGCAGGGTATTGGTACGCGTTTTACTTTTGAGGCATGGAGGAGCACGTGACCTGTTTTCAGTACATGGAGGAGCATGTGATCTGTAAACCGTACATGATTGGTTAATTGACCTTTTCGAAAACCTGGCTAAATACCGTTTGCCGGTACGTTACGGATTTACCTCTAGGGAATAGTCAGAGTGACACCTAATTAAGAACAAAAAACTATTACGTGATATTTCTAAATTTCTATAATTATTTTACCGTTTAAGGTGGAAAAACTTGAATGATGTGTTTGAAAATTATCAATGTTTCTTTAATATGTATCTCAAATTTTACAAACAATAAATTGTTTATACTGAAAATCTACAAAATTAAAATATTCGTAGTGGCATCTACCAGAATAAATAGAGATATTTTCTGCGTAAACTTGTGTGTTTACTTTTTTTGCTCGGAATTATTCATAAAATGGTCCTATTTAATCATTTTCTTAAAAAGAAATAATTGTTTTATGTTCGACCTTCTCCGGCCATCAACGATCACCAGTTTTCAAAGACCTTCTTCTAAATTTATCGATTATTGTCAACTATATTCCTGATAAAACCGCGCGTTTATTTAACCCCCTCCCCCAAACAATGCTGAAAATAGTTAAATGAAATATCTTTATATCATTAAAAATGTTCACCGCAGGAAACCGTTTTACTTGTTGGTTATTGGCGAGATGTTCGGAATGTATTTGTTGCCAAAAATGTTTACGGGTGATATACATGTATTATATATGCTTGCTAAAGATATTTTTTTTATTTCTGAGCCAAAAAAAGGGTGCAAGATTTTCGGTGTTTCATGTCTTATGGTGGTTACACGTTGTATATGTTGCCAATTGACAATCGTTTTCTTATGGACAATGTACAAAGACTCTTATTGGATAATAACACAAAAACTCTTTTCCCAAACACACACAGAGATTACCATTAAAGGGGTCAGCAGCGAAGCAGAATTTACTGGAGACCCAACAAATAGCATTCAGTTACTGAAACTTTCCGATAGATATACATATGTATACTTACTGATAGTTCCTTTTGACGAAAAGTTGCAGAACTTTAATCTGAAAAATAAAGAAAGTAAAATTAAGAAAAAATACGATAAATTTCATTTAGCTAACACCTGTTACGTGAACCAATCGCATTTTTTAAGGCATTTTCCGTCTTATTACGGTAAAGGTTTACATCATTCGGAACACCTAGCCGGTTACCAATAATAATCTCGGAAACAATAAGTATTGAAAATAGTTCTGCCGCGTGACTTTTGAATTGAACAAACACAGCTGATGTAAACTTTGTACGGTTTTGGTTTGGTGCCTCCTGGGTGCCCTGCTGTGGTGGCTTGGGTGTGTGTTGGGTTTTTTTATGCATTTTATGTATCAATGTATGAAAACTATTTAATTGAACATCCAGAGGAAATATAAAAACATACGATTTGAATTAAAATCGAATCCTGTCCGACAACTAAGTCATTTATACATCGATCCGGTTTGTTAAAACGTAAAAATCAGCAAATTAATAATTTACATGTACTTTACATTAATGTCTTTAGATTTACATTACATTACATAGCGAGATATGTTTCAATCATGTCAAACCATTAGTTATTACGTGTTTACATGTTTATTTTGTGTAGCGTAGGTTAAACCGAAATACCGATTCCGTTTTGTGTGTTCATACTATTGTTTAAAAGTCGAAAAGTTGCAATTGCGATTATTTTTTTCAATGTGGCTTACTGCCGTGATCCGGAGGTTGAACTACCAATGCCACCGCCATTGTGATTATTATCATGGGTGATCGACGAGGTACATCAAATAGTTCAGGTGTCTATCAATGCGTTGGCAATAGTTTTATAGGGCTATAAATTTCTGAAAATTTCCCACACAAAAATATGGTCTATATAAGAAGATTGAAAAGCGATTTACATCTTGTTCAAAGTAACCGTAAATGATTCTTCAGTGTGCATATATGCAAAATTATATAGACGTTCCATACTAGAAAAGGTAAGTCACCATGGCGCAATGCATTACATCATCAACAAGCATTTACTTTTGTTTGCATTAAATTTTGTACTCAACGGGACCTAACTCGTAACCTTTCGTAACGGAAAAGGCACATCAATGAAAGTTAAATATACTTTATTTTAAGCCAAATAATGGATGGCCAGAACTAAGTCAATATTTAAATATTAGTTTGTTCTTCATACATTGTAATATTGACATGGCTTTCCCCAATGTTTACAATAACAGTATTTGTCTTATAAATTTCTTTGTCGGAACAAATTCATTGATTTTTTCGTTTTAAGATTAATCTTATCTGGGAAAACACGTGCGGTTTCAGTGGAACTGTCGAGTCAGTCTGTTCATTTTTTTCTTTAACAACGTCCTTATCGTACTATTTGCAGTATCGCCTGTCGTTCTTAAAGGTCGACACGTGACACTGCGAAGTGACATCACGACAATACTAAGTAAAAAATGCAGTTTTTAATCTATTAAAATAACGCGACATGACGTTGCGACAATATACGTCGCTCCGCAATATCGTGCGTCGTTTCGCATTGTCGCGATGTCACTTCGCCTTTTCGTGTGTCGATTGACGACATTGTAAATTACATAACTGAGATAGGAAATAATATGATAAAGCAGAGACATAGATAATGTCATCTATGATAATGTTATCTATGTCTCTGGATAAATTGAGATAGGACAAAACAAGTTAAAGAGAGATAGAACAAAACATGTGAAAGTGAGATTGAACAGAACATGTTACGGGGACATATGAGTATGATACGCAACAATTAAGGTCCTATAAGTCCTGGCCATATGGTTTGTAAAGACAACATTCTTTGGCCTGTAGTGAAAACTGTGATATTGAAACTGCATGTTCAGCATATTTTCAAATTTTTTTTAAAGATATCAGCAGTTTTTTTTTTCAACATTTTTGTGGCATGGAAAATTCATTACAAAGTTGTCGGACATTCATCAAGTTGCATACGATAAATATCACTAACACCGAAACTGATCGGTGTCATTGAACGCTTTTTCAATTACCTATTGTAGTGTTTAATTGCCGAATAATGATCAGTTTTGTAATGATGAATGGCAATGTTTATTACATACCATACATTGATTTACACGGTTTCAATTTTATCGACATTAAAAGATCTGGTTATTTGTCACAATGCACATGTTTAAGATTACACATAATTTATTTCCCCTGGTTTCGAGTGAAACTAAATCAAAGTTTATTTTATTCATAAATTATAACTTAAGTTTTAGTTGTTTTCCTCAATTTGATAAAATTGCAGTTATAAGAAAAGCATAATGTCGATTAGATTGTTAGACATTAGGACATTGTAATGGTCATATTTCCAGCGTTATTTACATATGTGTCCCATCCTTATTTTGTAAAATTAAATGTACCTGTTTATATTCCCTCAATAGCATCATTAATAGAAAAAAGAATTCAAAGACCCGGTTGGGCGGGGATCGAACCCATAGTGTTGAACTTGACGTCAGCGATTGAAGCCACCAGGTCACGGAAGTTACCGAGATGAACATAACCACAAATCAAAAGTCACTTGTTTGAGCTATCTTTCCATTGTTGCATGCCTTACTATGTACCTTACACGATTACAATATATTTATGTACGTTTTATTCGGAAGAGGACAGTGGCTTAGCTGTTAAGACGTTTGTCTCTTAACCTAGGGGTCGTACGCTCGAGTCCTGCATGTAGCACGATTAATATGTTTTCCTCGTATAACGTCCGTAAAGTGATTGAACTTTTTATAATACTTTCGACAACCGTAACTTAATTAAAAGTCCAAACGCACGTTACTAGTATAAGAATTGAGATCGAGCTTATAAAATCAGGCACCGGACATTTTCCACCTAATATTGTGTTAACTGTATATTAATATTGTTACACTATATACTATCAATCTACTAACTACTGAACAAAATATCAATTACATAGTTTTAAGTCACCAATTTAATACTGTTTAATTTACAAGGGCATGTCCAGTACAATAAAGAAATAGTTTTCATTATAATATTACGTATTATGTATTTAACAGCTTATTTATCATGTTTACACATGTATAATAATGTCATATTGACATTGTATATTGGACCAATGGCCTTATATTATAAAGTATAAACAGTTTTAATATAATTTGTATATACGCACAATCAACTAGAATTACATCGTGTTTCATTTCTAATAAATAAAATATGCACGTGCCCTCGATCTGTACGTGAAAACGCACTTCTTAATTAACTCACTGTCAACTCCCACTACCACCAGTTTGTATGAGACACGAATAAATACATGTAATGTCGCCCACAAAACCACCCCAACGAATGGGCAGCCGTGTCGGGCTTTGAACTCATGTAACCGAAATTCTTTAATCTTTAACTGAACTTTAATGTAACAATCGGCGGAAAAAAACCCACACACTTTCCTCAATAGTCTATAAATCACTCAAGTTTGTTTTTTATTCACAACGACTATTTATAATTCTTTTTTCTTTCTGATGATTTATGACTATCGAATTACTTCAATACACTTAAGTACAATATTAAGATGGTTACAACAAAATATAAAACACACGTATTCTTTTGTACATACCATTTTCACAGAAGTTCTGTTTAAAATATCCATCAACTGGTGATCAAACAGTACATTTTCCAAATTTCTCTATTTCCTAACTAGCCTACGGTCATATTTTTGGTCCTTTTTCGTTTAAAACTATCCAAGTTTAAGCACATATTTGCCACAAATAACACACAATTTTCCACATGGACTAGGTTTAGTGTTTCACACGGGTGACTGGTTTTAAATAACGACGACGCAGTGCGAAGCATGACGCATACAACACTTTATTTACCACTCTATCCTTTTGTATATCGTTTACAAATCCGATCCAAAGTTTAAATAAAAATATCAATCTTCTCGCGTAAACTTCATAGCAGTTATTGAAAATGCAATTACTTCCATATAAAAGTTTAAAGGTGCTTCGCCGTAGCGAAATTTATGCGCAAAATGTGTCATTTTAACACAGTAAGTTGTTCACCTTTATTTAATAAAACGTCAAACCTCCAGCAGATGACTAAAAGAAAGACAGAATTTAACGAATTAATGAAAGTAAATAAAAAAGGAATAAAGTAAAAAAATAAGAGAAAAAAAGATAAGAAATTAATTAATAAAATATAAAATATAATATATAAACTATTTTTATTTTATATTTATAAGAAATATTTCAACCTCCATAATGCAGGTTTAGATTTTCATGTAAAATATGACAGATTTAATATTTTCAGTATCATAGTTCTATATTCCCTTACTAATGGAGAAAGAGAAAAGTCTGGACATTTTGACAACTTACAAGTAATTGACTAATTTCTCTAGATATTTACTGTCATAGGTTAGATCGCTTAATTAATATTTATTAATTGTGTACCCTTCACAAAATTGTACTTATTAGTAATAAGTATTGGTAGTCTTCATGAAACTTGACACGACACAAGTATGAAGGCTTGATGCTTAAACCAGCACGTGCAATTTATCCGCGTGAATCTGACACTAATGACTGGACCACTTTACATTAATAATGAAAACACGATTTTACAACTTTACTGATTGTGGGAAGGAGTGTATAACGTTGATAATTGAAAATGCAAAATAAACAAAGAAAACACACAAAAATGACGATCAAATTTCTCAGCGACACAGAATAGAACTGTGATGCTTTATATTAAGGCATATTGAAGGAGAGATAAGCCGTACATTTGTGAGTGCATGGTGAATCAACAAGTTTCTTACCAGAGGGGGTCGCAGAATTTGGACAAGGACAGATACTTATGACTTATATTCTAAAGGGATGTTTACATTTTATCCTTTTTTTCCAGATGGTGCCACGAGTCAAAATTTTGTTGCTTTACACTAGTTTTTACGTGATTTTTGCTAAGAAAGCGTAATTTGATATAATAATCTCTGAGGGTTAGCATTTACAAGTCGAAAGAAAATATACTACATGGCGGAAATAAGTCACTAATCAACTGCGCAGAATCAGCGGTTGGCACTGTAGAGAACCTTCACCTTGTGTACACCATGCAACACATGGGGGTCGCCTTCCAAGGCGGTTCAGAATGAAATAAATGAGCCGTGTCATGACAAAACCAACATAATGCGTTTGCGACCAGCATGGATCCAGACCAGCCTGCGCATTCGCGCAGTCTGATCAGGATCCATGCTGTTCGCTATCAGTTTCTTTACTTGTTATAGGGTTGGTAAGCGAACAGCATGGATCCTGATCAGACTGCGCGGATGCGCAGGCTGGTCTGGATCCATGCTGGTCGCAAACGCATTATGTTGGTTTTGTCGTGACGCGGCTCAAATGGGTTTCCTGTAACATTTTGAAATTTAATAATACGATTAGGCACCAGTGCAAAATATAGAGTGGGGCATAGGTATGGAAGCTTGAATTGACCCCCAAGATGCCGTGTTCGTGATTACTTGTGTGTCGTCATGTCGACATATATTTACGCGACATGACGTCCTCTATCATTGTCTGGTTGGATAAGAAAAGACGTATTAACAACATTTGTTTCAAGGCATGTCGACATATATTTTGTCAGTAATGGAGTTAATGAGAATTTCGAAAAGCTATGTCAACCTATTTCATCTCGACAAGCCTTGTTATATCTCTGCTTTTTGGAAAATATCACCACGTCTTAACATCATTGGTACTGTCGGAAAGACCTAATTAATATTCGGAAACTAAACCCCTCCCACAAAAGTAAAAACTTAATACATTGAATGGTTCATCCTTGAAAGAACATTTCGGTAGACACTTTGAAAGATCAATTGTATTTTTAATACAAAATTTGGTATATTTCCGTATATGCAGTGCATTTTGTGCATGCGTTTTTATCTAACTAGCAGTTATACCAGATAAATAATTTTAGTCATTGCTTGGTAAGCAACGTTTTATATTTTATACACGTGGCACAGGGTGAAGAAAAAGATTACCAAAAATGTTTTGTAGCTAAAATAACACAAAAGAACACTTACACAAACAAAAAACCAAATCAGATGAATAATAAAATATGATTAAATTTATTAGAAATATTGTTGCCCAGAGGGCAAATTTGACTGTTTGCTAGTTGGAAATGCACTTAAAGTTGTATAAATATTTATGAAAATTCAAATGTCCTGACAAAGATGTTTATACGAGACTATTTATACGTCTTTATAATGGTGTCTTCAGCATAATACAAATACAGCAAACCTGTAAGTTACTTAACTGATATACATTAACACAGTGATTATGTGTCCAGACGGCCCTCAGATGGAACCCATTTGTACTAAACTTACATATATGACGTTTTCAATCGTCATCGTACTATCGCGTTATCGCATTGTCGCCATCGCACTGTCGCATTCTCGTCATCGCACTGTCGCATTCTCGTCATCGCACTGTCGCATTGTCTTCATCGCACTGTCGCACTATCGCATTGTCGCCCTCTGTATTTTAACGTATAACCACGATGGCCGTAGAAGTACACACATTCTGAAGAGAGCTAAAATCATAAAAACTCTAAAATCTGATTGTTCAATAAATGTCATTCTTTTCAGGTATATAAATAGAGGATATTGAATGAGTGTAAGTTCAATACTGAATTTATTGAACGAGTTGAATAAATTTATATTATGCAAGCCTCTGGCGAGTATGAAAGTATGAAATAAGGATCAATGTTATTGTTCTTAAACTTTGTTCAACCTCATTAATTCTTCAATTATATCACTATTGAATTTCTGAAAGTTATGTTAATAAAAAATGTAGTACAGAACTCAAAGAAAGTAATGCCATTTTCCTTGCAAGTCAAACTTATTTTGGTACTCAATTTATCATATACACGTACATTGATTTCTGCTAAAAAAAGTGCATGCCTGATAAATTAAGCTTTATCAAAAAACATAATAGAACAGAGTTTATTTTCTTGTAAGCTTATAAGCATAGGTACGTCGTTTATAACAAACATGGGTTGCAATGTCATTTTTAAGGTCAAATAATTAACAATGCAGAAAACCCCATATAAAAACAACCCATATAAACAACAAAGAAATCATTACAAAACAGAGTAATGGGAAATTTAATACATACAATGCTATTCCTTTATCAGACACCTCATTATTCAAATTGAAATAAAATTTTTTAAAAAAATGGGTTATTTTTACCTCTTACTAGTTTGAAAAATATTAAACTGATAAACTTCTATAATTTACAGAGAAGAACTGAATATAAGAAAAAAGTTTTAATTGGTCATTTTAAATATACGTTTTTTGTGTGTACTTTTCTTTCGACTAAACTTTGTTTTCCGTGTGAAAGTTACCAATTGGCACAAATTAGCCTGAAACTTCCTTCGCTTCCTGGTGTCTTTTGCCATTTATTACAGTTTTTGGTGATTGTTTAAAATACTACTTGTTCACATTTTGCTACTTTTTTAAAAATAAAAACAACCTCACATTCAGGACTCCTTCCTTTTGTTAAATCAACAACCAACAAGCTCTAAAATACTCATTTCCTCTCCTTAAAGGGAATTGTTTATTCATTTGTAAAATGGTATGCTAATATATTTAATAACCAACCCTTGACCTTGCACTATTTTGTATTTGAAGCAGCCCATTCCTTCAAAGTTTCAGAGATTTCAATCATGGTCAAAATGCACTAGTAAAAGATCCTGGTTAGATTGCATTGATTCTCGCGGTTTTGGCCTCCTGGCCCCGTGTTCACTAACACAGATCACTGATCAAGGAACAAATGATCCTAGTTTTCTTTTCATTGTTTTTAAAACTAAATGAAGAGTGTTGTCCCTAGAATTTTAAATGGGTATATAATAAACAAAGTGTAAAAAATTTGCTGATTTGCAACAAAAACAAGCCTTTTCCGGGATGATATCGACAAATAACAAATATCATCGACAAATAACAAATATCATCGGATCAAAATATTAAGGATCAATTTAGGGATCAGGAACAATATTTGGGTCAACTGTCAAAATGCCTATATCTTGTTAAATAACAATAAATTTATTCTAAAATTTTATAAACAGGCTATTTTCTATCAAGTAAATATTAATTCAATGATGATAAGCAATGGAAAATATTTGAGATTTTTTAATTTGATCCTGATCATGATCCTAAAATCTTTAGTGAACATGGGCCTGGCTCTAGCTTCCACTTTCAGTTTCCAGCAGGTTAAGAGCCCAAACCTCCCAAAACTTTTTCCGGGAATGTAACCCAGGTGAAACAACCCTTTGACTTCAACAATGAACAACAAATTAATTTTGTTTGGCCTGCTCAACCCATTTTGTCAACTAGGCCTTTTATTAAACAATAATTTCATATTGAAACATTCTTGTATCAGAAATAGTGATTTTTAAATTCATGAGAGCAATAAATCTGTTAATGTAACAATTCC